AAATTCTATTAAGCTGGTGACTGGAAAGAAGAAATGAAAATGGACTCATGAGTATAGTTTTTTAAAAAACAGACCACGTACATCTTATGAAACTCAACTGCAACTGTTCAATATAATGTGAAATACTACCAGAGAAGTACTGCACTTTTAATCATATATACCAAGTAGGTTATAAATTATATAACCAACATTAAAAGACAGGCAACAGCAATCTGCCAAGTTTCAGGACTGCCCTCAAATCACTCCTCCTTTCTGACTGTTGACAGCAACAGTGCTACTGTTCTCAGCTGCTGGAAAAAGCCAGTTTGACATACATCAGAACCACCAGCTTTCACCAAAAGGTGATAATTACAGTGTTTGCTGTTCAGTGATTATGGTAAGAACAAGGTCGCTTTCAGCTGAGAACATGCCAAACAATCTCCCTGTGTATCCACTGCTCCTGTAAACACCAATATATCAAATGTTTGGTTGGTAAGAGTCAGACTGAAAGAACTGGTGCTTTTGCTACACAGACATTGGCAAGTATTTTGTCCTATATTACTTTCTGTCGTCCTAGAATACATAATTTTTTTGTTCATGGTATACAACTGCATCAAAGATTTGGAGAGCAAATTTTACTGAACACCAGCGTGTGATTTTATTTATCTCAGTGGAAGAGTGGAAGGAAGGACACACAAAGCCAATATAGCCTTTCTCTGTAGAATATCAGAGATTTCCAGCTAGTCCAGAAGCTCTAGAAAAGGGTTTACACACACCAAGTTTGCCAGTGCTCAAGTGTACTTTGTGGCTGATACTGTAACAGAATGCATGCACCCAGCACAGCACCCCAGCTGAGGAGGAAGAACTTAGGATGGTGTTAATGCCAGCTGCTTGCTACTCCAGCCAAAACAACCAAACAAGTGAGTATTTCAGTTTTGCTGAAATCAGCCCTTGGCTTTCAGTCACAGGGATCCTAAAGAGCGCAGACATGAGTGGTGGAAGTAATTCCCTAAATTACTAGGACTGTTTTGGAAGTGACCAACAGTACCTTTAGGCTTGCTCTGTACTACTGAGGCTTAGTCCTTCACTTCCCAGATGCAAATGCAAGGCTGGGCTTGCTGGGGAGACCAAGGGAGCTTCCATGGCTGTGCTGTACTCCTGGGACAGCTGGTGGGAGCAGCACCAACATGGCTGTCAGATGCCAACCAGCATCTCTTATCTCCCTCTGCTTTTGCTGCCTGTTATGCTCTTCCTTATTGATGCAATTGTGAATGCCACAGAATGGAGCTAAGAACAAATGCACATCCAAGCATCTACATGTATATGGATATGTTTGGTTACTTTTACCATCATATTTATTCACTCCCCTCGCTGGAAAATCCCAGTTCTACAGAAATGGGGCAACTGAGAGGCGTTTTAAAGGATTTTATTCTGTTATCAGCCTCATAGAAGGGTGAGACATAAGAGATGCAAAACTCAATGCTATTCTATTAGAAGACAACTTATTTCCTGGTTACAATACCTTATAAATGTTTTTCAGCCTATTAGCTTTTGCCACACAATGCTGCTCATACTTCTAACACCAATCACCTATTATTTTTTAACCCCATGTAGTCTTGCTACAATGCATCTTTCACAGTTCTAATTCTCCAGAATATCTGGTGTTTTTGCAAAGCCATTGTTTGACACTTGTTTCGAGCTCAATCTGTCTCTCAACAATGTCATTTCTATTCCACAGCCTTTCCAAGTCAGCACACCTTATCTCAGAGCTTACACACAGATGTACAAGACTGGGTGAGTTTTAGGTCAGGTTCTAAGGATCCTTTACAAATCTATTTTTTACACCCCTCCTCTTTAAAACCACACAAAAGTCTTGCACTGTTTTAAACTTATTATACTCAAACACTTTTTTGACCCTTCCTCTTCTTTTCCCTGACAAAATTGAAAAATGCCATTTTCTTATCAGCTCAAAAGCACAGTACAACTTACCATAAACAAGTAAAGACAAATTCAGATTTTTAACAAGAGAAAATAATCAGTGTAGTCACAATTGTTTCTGGAGAATATGTTTTCATACATTGTGATATCTTAGATTAATTAACTTCAAGTACTTACCATATTTGTAAAACATGGACAGTCCTACAATATCTGTCCTAGGGTACAAAGAATTTGTATTTACTATTAGAATTTGCTCAATATCAATACTGTGTTGCAGTACTTGTGTTTAACATTAACTTTTTTAAAGATAAGAAATGTCTTTCTAAGCATAACTGAAAAATATCAGCTCATAAAATTTATTTCTCCACTGACCAATTTCTTTACTCTGTTTATTTGGAAAGGTGATGTACTCATGGAAAGTAATGAAACTCACTACCTTGCAAGCAGTTTATGTTATGGTGATTAAATATCTTTCATAGCTTTGGTTGCCTTGTGTGTATGAACACACTAAAATGCAGGTACACTTTTCTTTCCTAGAACTAGACAATCAGTCTCAAGACAAATTAGAACATCATGGAAACACTTTTCAGTTAATGCAAGAATGATCAGTAGTACTCAATACCAGAGGTAAAATGCACTTAGATATGAGGCATGTATGGGATGTATGAAACCATTGTGTCTCAGCTGTATGGCTTCCTGGACACTAGCAGGTCACACAGGTCAATAGGCATACAACAAAAAAAACAAAAACAGCAGTACAGTTATACCAGTTTCTTCTAGTAAATAATTAAAACTGTATGGCATTTTTTGCTATCTTCTTTTTCTTACAATTTGCCCCTCCTGTTAATACCCATTAGCACTTAATATTTTGAACCAACACTTGCCAAAGGTACTGGCTGCCAGGCCGAAGCTCCAGCTATAAACTGCATCCCTGTGTGCCAGCAATGATTTCAGTGACATAACCCAGCTACAGGGGTCTGGATTTGCACTACTTTTTTCCTGAGGGGGAAGGTGTGAGTTATAAAGTAGAATTCATAATGTTTCCCAGCTATAACAACATTTCCTAAGAGCCACTGAAAAGACTGAGTTTGTGTGTAATTATGAAAGACATCATCTGGGGATGCCAACTGCACTGAAATAGATGAATGTTTTTAACTCACTAAACATGCCTCAACCCAGCAGCATGCTTACCTAAAACCCAAAATGATGGTTTAGGTATGCAAAAATTGAGAGATAAGGTAATGTTAAAACCTTGCACGTTTGGGCTAGAGCAGGGAAGTTCTTGTGTTGCCTGTGAAATTATTCTGAAAATAAATCGGTCAAACCTTCTTCAAATTCAGCATTAAAATTTTCCTATTGGAATCTTCATTTAAATAAAGCTTTTATTAACTCTTTTATGAACAAGCTTAAAATGTGTTGAGTCAAATACAAGATAAACCACATTTGTTTCCAGAAACTTTGGTGTCAGTGTTAGTTTGTTTTCTGGAAAAAGGATGTGCTAATTCATAATCATAAAATAAATTTTCCCTTTTTTGTGTGTTATGTAATAGAATATTGTCCCTATTTTTTTGTCTTTAGATGTAATGAATAATTTCTTCTATAAAGCACAGAAATGCTCCGCACTGCAATAGATTAGAAGTCATTCCAGTCAAAATCTGTGCTGATTTTGTATCTCCTGTTTACTACAGCTGGTGACAGTCTAAGCACCTGTGCTGTGTCCCACCACACAGAGACAACTCTAAACTAACACTTTAGACAATGATCTACAGCACCATATTACAGTTAGTTAAAAAAACCTCACTTCTTGAAGACATAAATCCACATAAAAATGTAGATCTTAGCATAGTGGGATAAAACACCATCAATATGGAAGTGTTTATTGCACTTTATTGTTTATTGCCCTTTATTCATCCTTGGCAAAATCCACATCAGAAAAACATGGCACCACTTCTTGATGCATTTCCTAGTTAACCATAGAAAGTTTCCTATACCCTCTAGATACTATGTGAATGCAATACCATTTAAGAAATAAGAGACAGCAACAACCTAAGAGTTGGAGAGAAGCCTTTCATACAGTGAAGAACCAGAAAAAGAAAAAAAGAGTAAAAAGGTCCCTCCAAAGGTTTGCTTTTCTTTAAAATTACTTCTTGATGTGTGGATTTTTAGTAGGTGATACTACACAATCTAAAAAAATACTTCAAATAGTATATATCTACATATGTATTTTTATATGCACGCAAATAAATCTGGCAAAAATAGAACATTTAAACTTAATATTTATCCTGTCAATCATAATTGCAGGCATAGTCATGAGGAAACTCTTCTGCAGCAGGCATTCAGTCTGTTCAAATTCTCAGTGCTCTTAAATTCCATTCACTTCCAGTGGTAGAGTTTGTACTTTTAAATTATAGTTTGCTTGTTTAAGAGTGAACAGTCACCATGCCAACCCTGGTGAACAACACAAGACATGAAATAGCCTGTGGATCTGTCTCACCCTAACAGCTGGAAATCTAATTGGGGCAGAGGAAAACAAAACATGATAAAAACAACCATAGGAGTCAGGAGGGAAAACAAGAAACAAGCAGTATGAGTTTGTGGAAACAAACATAGACACCCATCCATGTAGTGTTTCTACCCAATACATTAGAGAAAAACATTTTTCAGTTACCAGCCTGCTTTATGCTTTCCCAAGCCACTGAATTCTATCTTTGATGTTCATGATAACTATTCCTAAGTGTTTGTGAACTACACCATTTAAATCCCCTCAAACATCAGTTTATTTTCCCTTGTAACATATTCCTACAGTGTGGGATTAACAGACAGAGCAGAGGCCTTCAGGCACCGAGAATGTAAATGAGCCTAATCTCAAGAAAACAAGATGTGCACTTAACCATAAATATTTTTTATAATCACATCAAACATGACATACCTGGTATTCAGTTTTATATAAATTAGTTGTTATGTCAGACCTACTTCTGAGGTTATCCAAAACCCAAACACGTAACATTATTTCTACTCTTCAGGCCTGAATAATATTTACAGACATTAATGCTATATCCAGCTCTACAATCATTCCAGACACATTATATAACTTTATTTTTTTATTTGACAAGCAGCAGTATCATGTTCGTCATTTTTTTTTACATTTTAATGTAGATACAATTATTAGGTTATCTGTCATATTACAATATTTAGGTTTTTTGTGTGATTTTTTTTTTACTTTGTCTTAAGATACATTAAAAAACATCAACTGCAAACGTGAAAGGGGAGGGGGGAAAAAAAAAGCATGGTACCCAACCAATTCTCCACATTTCAGCAATACTTCACTCATTCTTTTAGTAAAGTTTTAAGAAATGTCATAATGACATGAGCTTGAAATATCTATAGGCATTTTCATTGACGCTCATGACATGGCACTGGTGATGTTGTAAACAGCAGAAAAACAGGGGCTGCCAAGTGACCAATTATGGAGGCACAGGCCTGCCTCTTCCCACAGGAACACACCAAACAGTGACAGCAATGATCTCCTTACAATCATACCTGCAGGACAGCACATCATGCTACATAACTGTACTCGTCTGCAGAGGCCTGGCTTCGCTCTATGTACTGTTTGTCTATCAGGACTTCAATACACTTCTTAATCATGCTGATACTTGGGTTAAACCTAGCTCTTGATTGGCTAATTACCTGCAAAAGAAAGACACAGTTTTTGTGTTATTTTTTTATTTTTCACAGTTATAAATGTCATCTAGATATTTGCTAAAGGCTTTAAGGCAAATTCAGTATGTTTTTCTTTTAAAGACAGGATTAAATAACTCTGGAATTGTTAATTTATAACAAATAAGAAAGTATCTCTACGTATAAGTGTCAGGACACTGAAACTGACTGGTCAGCTCACTGGTTACTTTGGCCACATGTTCCCCAGATCTCCTCATTCCTCTCACTTGCTTCATTTGTCACAGTACAAATGAAGACAAATATCCATGTTAAAAATTAATCTAATATTAACACATTTCTTCACTACTGTCACAATGGAGCTCCCCTACCACTAACCTCCTTTCCTATACAATTGGAGAAAATCAGGATGAACTTCTCTTTCCTTAGTCACTGAAGACAGACCTACAATTTAGTGAGTTCCATCTGGCTATGCTGGAATTTTTTAATACATGCAGTAAGAAGTTATTTATTGTAAAAACAAATCTATATTTGTATTGTGGAAGAAATTGCCAGTCACGCAAAACTTTAGATGTCTCTTAAAAGTTTCTCTAGACTGAAAACTTCTCTTGTAGAGAAGGGGAAGAAATTGTCTGAAGGGTTCTTGCACCAACAGAATGTGCAAATCTGTAAGTAGGAAATTTTTTCAAACAGAAGATCTTACTACTCAAGTGTCACAATATATTTTGCCTGTAGTTCTTATTTCTTCTGTAAAGAAAATTATTTAATTCCAGCTGAATTTTCAATTTTCTTTACAACTTCTCATGGCTGGCTTTGTCCCAGCTCTAGAGTTTGCTGGGTCTCTCTGTGAGCCAACAGAACTCACCAGGTGGAACTCACCCAACAAAGCAAACAAAAGCCTCAAAAGAGTGAGTTTTGTTGGGCTAACAGCCAAGGGTCTGGTATGTTCCACAGCAGCCCAGTGAGGAGAAACTGGGCGCTAACAAGCTGATAGATCTGCTCGGATTTCACCAAACTTAGCCCTCCACTGAAGCTGATTGGCATCACCACATTTCATGTATTTACTTCAGACAAAGAAAGCAAAAAAGAGAATTTTGTATTGGTGTGGATTTTCTTGTTGTTGTTGGTTTTTTTAATCAAAGATAGTACAAGTAAGAAGGACAGACAGAAATACCTGATGGTCAGAATAAAAAATTTCAGGGAATGACTGTTCTGATATCTCCCCTCCACTACTCTTCCAGTCTTACTCATTTTATAGGAAAAGCTACCTCACCCTGCAGGGGACTGCAACACTGAGCTAGAACTGAAATTACCAGGGTGCATCTAACACAATTAACAATTCCACAGAGACCACATGCTGACATATACAGGTCTACCATGAGCCTGGAGTATTTTCTTGAACACCTCAACCTAAATGAAATGTGTGCTGCTGTAGTGTTAGAATCAGAGCTAACTACATTAGGGTAAGGAGTCTCTCAAGTATCTCTCTAACAGTATAATCCTGCCCTTATAGCTAAGAAAAAATACTAATGAGGTGAGAAAATATTAACTATTCATAGTAAACAGACTTCTTTGAGAAATACTCCTTCTTACTCAAGAAGTCAAACAGCACATTTTAACTGATACATTATATTTAAGAATATAAACAGCATTATAAAAATAACAATGGCACCAGGATTAGTAACAATATCACAACTATACTTTCTACCTAGTTTCTAACTGAGTAACCATGAACAATCCACCTTTCTTGCAAAGCTGAAGAGAAATCTTCTAATGTTACTATTCTGCAAGAGCAAAATGCAGCAGGGGCATGTGAGTGGCCCTTCCATTACACAAAGGAAGAAGGAACCAGAAAGGATTTGTTTCCAAAACACAGAAATTTGTGATCTATTTAACCCTTATAAACTGGTGTCAGGCAAAGTACATTTCAAGAAATTTTTCTAATAATTTGACGGTGGGCAGAAAAAAAGTCTTCTCAAAGATGAAAGGGCTTGCCTATCATTTTCTAGTTTTAATTGCAAATCCTTACACAATTTCATCATAATTGCATGGATTGTTTAAATATTGGGAAACAAAAAAAATCAAAGATTCTGAAAAATATCAGAACCTATGCTACCTCATCTTTTATATATTCAAAATCAGATTTCTCAAATTAGGCTTACTTTCAGACTATTTGTGTAAAAACACTTCCTTAGTATCCAAAATCTTTAAGAGGTCTCACACTGCATCATCTGGGCTTACAAACTCCCTGCTGCTGCTAGGTTTTATTTTTAGAAATAAAAATTAAGGAGTGGGTGTGGTAAACTGTTTCCTTCGTCACCACAAATTACTCAGTATCTCTCCACCTTTATGCTCAAAATGGTTGAATAAATCAGGAATCTCAATTCCCCCTCCCACCAGTCTTCTCTGAGCAAGGCTCAGAGATGCAAGAATGAATTAAACTGAAGAAAGAGCTTTGGAAGTTTGAGGAAAGTAAAACTGGCAACTGGTTGGAAGAAGCAAGTGTTAGGCTGGAATGAGAAATACAATTAGGCAGGCAACCAGCAGATGGAAAAGTGGGAAAAAAACTAATGAAATAGCACTTCCTTCCAAGCCAGGCTGTGACAGTTCACAGGTCATTAATCTGGAATCTAAAAAATCTAAAGAACTGTACTGCTTTGTGGAAAAGGGAGATTAAAAAGTGCATGTCTCCATATTCAGACAACTTTTAAAATTTAAACCATGAGTTATAATAAAGTAATGATTAGAGCACAGAATTGGCTAAGTGCTTCTGTGGAAATTCCATACTAGAATATCCCTATTCAGGTTTTCAACTGAACCCATAGCTCTGGCAATGATTTTTATAGGGTACAACATCTCTTGGCACAGAACCAGCTAACAGGAAAGAGCAAGAACTTAATGCTTTGGTGCTAAGACACATTTACGAGATTGAGGGATCCCAGCTCGTGCTCCAGTACTGCAGTTCAGAATAGACTCCAGGGAAATTCTCACTAATTTTGCAGAAGTACTGGTTTCCACATGGCTGAGTTTTGTAGTCTGATGTTGTACCCTACTATCCTGAAGATTTTAATGAAATCAAGCTCCAGGACTTTCTCTCACCTCCTGAATAAGAGCATTATGTCGCAGCACTTTCCGTGCCTTCATGATACGGACTATAGCAGCTTGCAGATACATTTTCCTGTCTTCATCCACAGCACTTCGGGTCTGCTCCATCTCCTGCCACACAGGAACAACAGCAATGCTCAAAACACAGTAAGACCAATAAAGAGTGCATAAAAGTATCTTGAATCTCTCTTTACTTTACTAAAAGTGGTGAACTAATAATAAAAAAATGCAGGTGTAGTTCAATTCCAGTAAAAGTATGTCCATAAATCAAGGATATCTGGTTTCATGAAAGTCAGTAAGAAGGTAGGAGAGAGACATCTAAAACAATGTTTTTGCTAGGGAGAAAAGCAATCAGAATTGACTATAATTTACTGAGTTTGGCAACACATACCTATATTGTACAAAATCCTGTGTCTTAGGAGATACATTGAGAACATGGATTAACAACACAGGAGTTGATTTTAGTTGCCAAAGGACACAAAATCATAGGAAAACAGTTGATTGGTTCTGCTGTTCTTGCAGTAAGTTCCTTTATAAACACCAGCAACAAAAAAGTCTCACAACATAGACTAAACATCAATACCATTTGGTATTACCATTTTGTTAATCTTTTTTTTCTACTTCTTGTTCCCTATTTCACCTTCTCTTGCCTATACTTCAAGTACAAAAAAATTGTGTTCCTTAAGCTTTAAACCTACAAAATTTCTTTTGCAAATCTAATGGAGTCTGGTATCTCCTTACACCAAACTAACACAGTAAATTCCATTTTAGAAAAGTAAGGTTTCTAAGCTATTCAGGCTAGAAACACCAAAGAATACTTGCCTGTGGTGTGTCTTTCTGCATTGACGTGGTAATTTTAAACTTTGTTCGTTTACTGCTGAAGTTCATATTTAATGAAAATGTAGACTCTGTCTCTATATCTTCCTGCAATACAGAATCATTTTTTAAAATCAAGAATGGAACCAGAAAATAGTAACAATTTACTTTGAAAAGTCACAGTTAGGGTCTTACATATACAGAAAAAAAAATCAGATCTGTAGCTGGAAATACTAAAATGCTGCTTGAACCGGGTCAATTTTTAAAGCTAGTTTAACGTCATTTTTTCCCTGCAAAGAAAGTAGGATTTGCATTTATCTATGAGAGGACCTCAAAGAGGAGCTGCTGCTTTTGTAATTTTTACAAAAGTTGTCTTCCAGAATTTAAAGAAAAGCATTTAAACATTTTGATATGTTATAGCAGAAACAGCTGACAAACTGCAACTACCACAGTGCACATCTTCCAGGAGATTTCAATTTTTTTTTCCTGTCAGAATCTCCATTCTTTACCACATATATATGTAGTAATAATAATAATAATAATAATAACAACTATTATTATTGTTATTATTATTTCAGGGGTTTTTTCCTATGGTAAAAACACCTTGAAATTCAACACAGCATGACTGGGCAGATCTCTGCAGTTTCCAGGCAAGAGTCTGTACAAGCATTACCAATTTCCAGCAGAATAAAGTTACTGGGATTCTGAGACCTCGGAATCTTGCCAAACTGTCTAAAGCATAAGTATTTTAGTAAACACAGAAAATATTTATCTAAATATGCACTCAAATTAATATTAACTCTAATTTTGTATCTTGCAACAAATAGCCTTTGTTACAATATACATAAAAATCAGGATACCAGGCATAGTATAGAAAATACAACATGAAATGGGAAAGACCTTGAAAAAAAATAAACTAACAGAAAAATAGGCTAACATTAATTTATAGCATTATTCTGCTGACATGGTTGAATATAAACCAAAATAAATTGTGTATTGAGCATCAAGTCAAAAAGCATAATTCAAATGAACCAATGAAGATTTTGAGGTGAAGCTTCTCATGCTCTTTCCTCCACACCCGGTCACAAAATGAACAAACAAGCAAAAGCAAACTACAACATTTACTGCACTTTACTTTTCTGTTTGGCACAGATACAGGTAAAGAGAAGTTTGTGTATTGAATTCCACTGCTTAAACCACTAAAGCTCACTTGTTTATTTAATAAGTAAGCTGATAGACTGTCTACAGATCTGCTATCACATTGTTGGATGGAGTGCAAAGAAAACAGAAATAGTAAAGACACTTGAATACAGTAGTCTGGAAGGCAAAGAACTGGAAAATGCAGTGGTAATCATTAGAAAGTAAAAGGGTAGGAAAGCTGTATTATTCCTTCTTCTATGACATAAGCTTTAAGGAACTGGGTGAACCTTATACAATGGACATAAATAAATGTAAATCCTTTAAATAACAGGCAAAGTTCTAAGATTATTAAAGGTCTCACTGTTTCCTGTAACAGCTCCCAGTGTTTTATTTGACCCATGGTTTAACAGACATCTTCCCAGCAACTGTTCCAACCTGAGCTCATTTCTAGATATTGGAAGCATGTCCTATGCTTCAGCCAAGCACCAGATCTTCCTTGTGATCTCACTTTCCATTTTCTAAAATTTTCCTGGTTAAAAACAAAAGCAGCTGTCAGAGCAGCTTTGGACTTCTTGTAAGTGAACTGAAGAGCTTATCTCAGTTCCTTCTGTCTGATACTGCCTGCATAGTGGGCTTTCTGGGTGAGCTGGAAGCACATGCTATGTCTGTATGGGATGCACAGGCTCTTCTGCAGTAATTCTTAACAGAGTAAAGTCTGTGCCCTTTGTTGTACTGGAAAAAAAAATTCACAAAGGCTACACAGATGGATGAGAGAGTCAGAAAAAGAAGTATCAACCATTGCCTGAATCACAAACAAAGCTCAGATATTACTGGAATTCCAAGAAACTAATGGAATGATAAGTCTGGCAAACTGCAGCAAAAATCCTCTCACAGAAGTCCTCCTTGCTCTCCTTGTGGCTCCTGTAATCTGTCCACAAGGAAGAACATGGTTGCTCTTTCTTTCAGTCTCTTAATCCCACAAATATCTTTTCAGGATCACTGTAAAATTCTGGTTTACTGCTCAGGCTCCTTCCAGTGTTTCAGCACAACTTTGAAAGCAAGGCAACAGAAACAATGAAGAGTCCCTGCATTATTACCTTTTCATGCTGCTATAGCATAGAAAGCCTGTATGACAGGCACTCTACTTTCTCCTGTCTTTTTCCTTATAAGTAGAGATTTGACACAAGGGTCAAAAATAAAGCTTAGAAAAATAAAAGTAAACAATGGATATTTTTAAAAAGTCCTCAACAAATATGAGAATGACAAAACTGAAAACATCACACTTTTTAATATCATAATGGCATACCTTGTCTGAGTCATGGTTGATCATTTTGACATCAAGCAAAGATTTGATGGTTTTTGTCAGCTCCTTCTCATTCATTTGTGTACTGTCCTGAAGCTCCTTGTAAGTGACAGTCTCACTGTTGTTGAAGGCAAGCAGCACTGCCATTTGGTATGTTGTGACCATGGCTACATAAGGTTTGCACAAATAATTCATTTTTACTTCACCTGTAATGATACAAGTCGTATTTTATAAACTGATGAAAGGTGCTGAAAAGCCATCTGAAGCCAAACTACCAGAGCTCCTCATACATTTCCAGACATTCAACTCAAGTCTGTATTTAACACTTGAAATAGAACAATGACAACTGATGCTGTGAATTTACACATATACAGTGGGGCCCACAACAACTGCCCCACCCTAACTATGCATACTGGACAAATAGTGCAATATATAATAATAATAAATATATAATAACCATTAAAAAAATTCCAAGTAGCCTCCACACATTGCAATGCATAAATTTCAATTAACAGCTTACACAGAACCTCAGAATAGTGATTAATGAAGAAGCTGATTAAAGGAAAGATTTAAAAACAAAGTAAAATATATGTCCATCAAAAATTTTTCATATTCTTACATTTTTCAAATTCCCATAAAAACAAAAAGCACGGAAGAAATCTACTTGAAAGCAGATTTAGATTTTCTGTGTGAAAGATGAGTTAACAGCTACCTTCTGTTACCAGAACTAGATTTTAATTTTATTACATTGTTGTAGACTATGGTTTTCATCTCCATCTGATATGTTGCAGTGCTCAGTTGTTAAAACCTGAGACTGAAAGCACTTAAAATAAAACATGATTAACTGACACTTACTAAAATAAACACTTGACAATAATAAATACTTAAAAATATGTATTTATGTAGATACTCAAATACTTGAGTAAAATAGTATAATATGCATTCTTAAAATTATTTAGTATTTATGTAAGGAACATCTATACTACAGAAACAATTCCAGGGCAATTGTTATTAACTCAGAAGTTCTGCAGTGCTTTTCTGCAGTTAAGGACACTCAACTCTAGTTTTACTTGGATTTAATAAATCACAAATTTACAAGACATGGATTATGAAAATCTAAGTACTAAATATTAATATGTAACACCAAATACATCCATTGACTTTAAATGCAAAATACTGCTCCAACTCCCCATGTTTTGGTCATTTGAAAAGAACTTTTAGCAAGTAACTGTTAGATCATAAATTTAGCAAAGCACTTATTTTTACCTGTACAAAGATAATGTAACCAAGTAAGCTTCCTTCCACTAAAATGCTGACTGTAAAATAATTCAAACTGCAAAACAAAATGAACATCAGTTAGTCACACATATAACTACTCATCAAAATTTTTCATCATCCTACCACCCTAATGAAAAAATACTGGTTTTATGTCCATCACAATGGATGAAAACACTGCAGATCCATTTGTGACAGCATTTTCCTTTAGAAGATGGGTGATGACTGCATCTTAATTTAAGGTCTACCTCTGGTAATGAGAAGAACTTCAGCTGATTCAAAACACCTTTCCCTAAAATGAGATCAAACTCCCTAAACCCCACAATGCCAATCCTGTGTACACACATCTATTTGGCTTATTCTGATTTGGTCTGGAAACTGATTAACATTGTAAAAGAACATAAAAACAGGGAATTTTGATCTCTTTAGGAATTAGGTGCTTCTCCACCCACAAGCTTGCACATATGAAAAGCAGTATTTATACACCACTCAGATAAATATACATTCACAGGAAGCTTCACCAGTCTCAGAAAAAGCTGCTGAAGAGGTTGCCCAGTTACACAGGCCCTCAGATACTTTGGAGTGCAATTGCAATAATTTGTTTTTCTTTCTAAGCCCTTGCCAGAATCCTAAGAGAACTCTCCATGGGTCAAATCATCGAATTGGACAGCAAATAAAGACATTGTCAGACAATTTTCAAGTACTCCCCTCTCAAGGTCATGTTCTGTTTCTTTAGGGAATTCTCATTTAAAGCACTGATCTCTACCTAGGTCACACATGAATAAGTTTGCTCCTTTAAAGTGGCAAGATGGTGAAATTGGACAAGAAACGCAGACTCTGAGCTGCTTCTGACACACAATTCTGTACCAATTTTCCAATTGAGGCAATATACTTTGTGACAATACTCCTATTTAAACCCACAAAGACAGCAAAATCTCATCACAGCTGGTGATCCTGTAGTCTGGGTCAGGAACTATTATATTGCTAAAACCAAGTGTCACTTAAGTGGAAATCAGAGCTGAATAAGTAGTCCTAATATTCAGCAGTAATACAAGAAAAAGATCCTTCACCACAAAAAAAGGCATTTGCCATTATAACTTACATCAAATAGCAATGTAAGGTGTAAAAACAGCTATAAAAATCTCTTATGTCCAATAATACAAAATTTGTATCGCCTAAATTGTACTTCACCATCAAATACACCTTACCAAAGATCAACACAAATATTTTGTTTTTCAACAAAATGGTACAGGTAACATTTAGAATACAATGATATAATCAAAAGCAACAAAATACCTCTACAGTGTAGAAATAATCACATACGAAAAGAATATTTGGCTAAAGCAAAACCTTTACTGCTTTGAGAAACTTTAGAGAAGTTTGCATGAAGCTTGACTTGGAACAGCTTCTATGAAACAGGGAATAAGAAACTTGTATTTGCATCTTAATCTGCTATTAAGACTGTTCAGATTTAATATTAGAAACAAAATCTTCTTTTATCTAAATATTAAGAGTTGGTTTTGAAGCAAAGACCCAACCTAGTTCATTGGATTGCATTTATTAGCATCTCTTTCAGCAATCGTAAAGTGTAGAAGAGAGATGTGAAAAGTCTACACAAATCCATACATAAATGCAGTAAGGTATTTGGGTGACCCTTCCACATTGCATATAGACTGGAAATATGATAGACATAATTTACAATAAAAATAAAGCAGCTCAAGTTTTTCTCTGTTAGAGTGATGACTTTTCATTTGGAGTTATTTTACATTTTTCACATGTTTACAGGAAGCCTCCTACTAACCTACCATCTGTACACTTTTTTCCAGTTCCTGAGGAATTGCAAATGTAGAAGAAGGAGCCTGAGTTAGAGGCCATGCACCAGCCTGAAAGTATTGGGAAAAACAGAAGCATTAACATTTTCATACAACACATATATTAAGAAAAAATAAACGCTCTTAAGTGGATGTATAGTGTGCATTATGGCATAAGACAATTAATTCCGGAAGTTTTACTGATCATTTTTTAGCGCACCTTCTGCACACCCCGCTGAGGTATGAATTAAGACTGAAATTTTATATCACTATTGTTTAGGGACCTAGTGGGTTGATTTTACAAGAAACACTAGGAAAGTAAATAATTCCCCAATGACCACAGGCCATCAGCTCCCATATAAAGTAGTATTCATAATTAGAAATGTTGTATATTTGTTACGAGAACATAAAAAGTAAATACAAATAACTCAGCAGCAATAAACATACATTAGTACCTGTAGAACATATATCTGAAAACTAATTCCCAAATCAATGATTGTGTCCTGGTTTTTGATAAAGTTGTTGAATTTGTTGTTGAGATCAGCACTAACACTCATGTCTGTATACATTCGATGGAGCTTGCTGGTAAATTCATAACCACAGGCTTGCTGTGAAGAAATATTGTAACAGGTTTCAAAGTGAAAACAGTACTCATCATATAAATTATGTTCCCTTACTAATACAATATGAAAATCTAGTCAGCAGAAGTGTTGTTATATTTACAGAAAACACTAGTTATAATAAAAACCAAACACTGTTAAATAAAATTATCTTTATCTTAGTTTCACCTTATATACACTAATCTATTTGAAAAATATTGTTTTATAAGATCAAAAGATAGACATGTTTATGAAAGCTCTTGGTACTTTTTTAAGGTTAACATGAATGACTTGAATACAGCTAAAAAAATTATCCAAAACCTCATAAAAATCTCAAATGTCTAGGTGACACTCAGCCTTTTATCTTTCATAGACTACCTAAACATTAGCTTTTGCTGTCAGCTATTGGAAACAGATTTACCAATTGCTAAGTTACCTCTGGCACCCTCTGCTGCTCCCTCTCAACACTACATACTCCTATATTTGTTTATTCTGTTAGAAGAATATTACCTTACCTTTAGTTTGTTTATCATCGCTTCTTCAGAATCCATAGACATAGACAAACCATGAATTAATCTTTTTGCCAACATTCTGGCATAGAACTGCATTAAAAAAAAAAACAGAGACAAGGATTTTAAGAAGTATAACCACATTCTTCAAGTAGGCTTTAAATGTGACATTTTAACCATTATTGAATAGGAAAAGTTACCTTTTGGAATACATCTTTGTCATCAATGTATTTGAAAACAGTAATGAAACTCGTAAGCTTGTCTTCTACTTCATTCTCTGTCATTCCTTTCGCTGATTTCTTTAACAAGTTGTCACAGTATTTGGCCAGCTCAAATTAAAAAAAGAAAAATCAAACCCAAAACTACTTGTCAAGCTTGAGAACAAATGTATGCCAAGGTATTTGGTATTTCCAAATTTCTACAATAGTTCAGACATGAAATAAGTCCCTCTCTAGTGTCTCACATTGAATACAAGGGTTGCATTCATGGGTAAACAATACATTCTACACCCACAGAAATACAGTCTATACCAGAAATTAGAACCATAGCAATTTTGCACACTCACAAAATGTGCGTGCAGCTTAAGCTGTTACTACTAAAATACACACCTGAGTGTGACCCAGTGTGAGAGCTGGGAATGCATGTGAAGGACCCCATAGCAATTCAGTGGATGGTTATATATAAGGATTATTACTTTGTGTGCATCACTTACCAACTCAGGTGCTTTGCAGATTGACTTGGGCTCCCGATAGTTAACTACTGATGTCAAAGCCTACATAAAACATGGAGCAAAGAGAAAAACTCTCAATGACTTAAACTTTTTTCTTTTATGAAATTTGAAAAAATAAAAAATATCCTCAGAGCAAAGGTCATCTGAGATCCTAAAAAACTGAACTACACAAAAGGGGATAAAAAAAGAAACAATTCATAAAAAGGTTGAATTACCACTCTATGAGAATTTGGTTGTTAAACATTTTCAAGTTGAGAATTCAGTAAAAGTAGAAAGAGTAGAAGAAGAAACATAATTACAGAAAACCAAAGAATAAATTAAGTTCTGATTAGAAACTTCACAAAAGTATTATGATTGGTATAGAGCAATATTATGGTCCAAAAGAATGGATGGAAAAAAACTTAGGAATAAGTGCAGACAAAGTAGATTTGAGCAGCAGCACATCAACAGCATGTGTGTTGAGCTGAAAAACGTTATGAAGTGTTCACAGCAGTAAGAAACGAAAGCGCCTTTGGTTGTTGGATTTTTTCACACACTGAAAAGAAAAATATATTGTTGAAAGTGGAAATTTGAAGTAGCAGAGTACAAACAATATGGTGGCTGAAGAAAACCTGAATATGATGAAAAAGGAAAGAGATAATGGCAGTTTAGAAATGAAAAGAAGATTATCAGAATAACAGAGTTTCTAAACTACATGTCACATTTAAATTAGTGTTGTAAACTAACAGTGAATCAAAAATACTGCAAGATCATAGTTCCCAGGAGTTGCAGTTCCTCTGTAGAAGGTAAATCTTGTTGTTATCATTATAAAGAGAAACTGACATGGAACTCCTCTGTACAATACCTCAAGATGGCAAAATTTGCTAATAGCTCCCTAGAATTCCTCTGAGAAAAGAATGAATGACTTGGCAAGAAATAGGAAACTCTTTAGAGCTTGGAGCAATCTTTTGTAATAATACTGGAGGCAGCAATAGTGATTTTGATAGTCACCATCAAAATTAACAGCTAATCAATATTTTAATTATTTACTGTAAGAAAGATCAATGGAGTGAAGAACTGATGTATTGAACAAAAAGTACATTGCCTTTGTGCCAGCAAATGAAGTTGTCAGTCTCGTGTTACTCCACCTTCTGGTACATGACATTAATTGCAATGGAGAGAGAAATGTATTTGGTACTGAAATACTTGTTTTAAAATGCTAAATAATTATTGTATCAATGTCACAAATACAGATGGGTAACTACTATTGGTACCATCACTGGTACCTTCTCCATTGTGCCTCTTCAGGTTAACCTTGACTGATAATTGTCAAAGCTTAGACTCTGACATTAGCTACAAACTGCAACTACTGCACACACCACAAAAGAGCAATGAACTGTATGTGTGCATCCTGGGAGAAGAAATTAAAGAAAGAAAATATATTTATTAGTTATAATTAATAATGATTAATATTAAAGTTTATGGTAATTAGAACTGTTATCTTGAATTCCTGCATGACTATGCATTTCAAATAAAAGAGCAGCAAGACACTTTCCCTATATTTGTTATTTAAATTCAAGTGCAACTCTCTCCTGGAAAAAGTTACCTATTGTGGCAGTGATTGAAGCAATCTAAGTTTCCAGGTATTCTTTGCAGTCAACTTGAAAAATCTAAGCAAAGACTCTGTGGATGTAATACTAACAGCATTCAGAGATAAATATAATCTCAGCAAGCAAATTCAAGTTCAAATGCATGCAAGAATTACCAAACCTCCCAAACCTCACCAGATGCCTATTCATTATCTGCACTTATATTTGCACTGAATGGATCAGCACCATTTTTGTGTTTTGAAATATGATGAAAAGAAAGGTCTTTCTTTCAGAAAACAAGTATTAAAATGGTCTCCTTTAATTTATATTTTCCCTTACACTGGAATGTCTTTTGCTCCATTGCATTTCTAAACAAGAAAGATTGCATATGAACTATCATTGACCATGTGTTGATGCTATCAAGAGTTTTGGTGAGCCTGAATCAGGGTCCTGGATTTTGTTTTTCAATGCTTTGTTTACTTCAGTAAAAATTACCTTGTCAAGGGCACTCATAAAGTGTTGATCACCATTCAAAACAGTGTTGATTAGTTGAACAAATTTACTATGTACTTCCAAAACTGACTCCACAAACTGAGTTGGCATCTAAAGAGGGTAGATAAAACAGAAAGCAAGTTAGTGAGGAAAATAGTAGTATCTAACACAAACATATCTACATTAGTTGTAGATTTTTTACTAATAACTCTTTTTTGAGAAAGTTAATACTACAGTGAGTTTTGAGAGGATGGATTCTGCTGTATTCTCACACTATGATGTTAGACCATGTTTTGGAAATAAAAAGTCTAGGCTACATTTACTGTACTGCTATCCAACCAAGATTTGAGTATATACTGCTCTCATGTAATCTATTTTTTTCCCTAAAATCCATTACTAGCCTTTTCAAAAATCATTAACGCAAACATAAATACAGCAATCAAGCAACTGATATAATAAACTGCTGCTTCTCCCACACAGTGACCTCAGAGACAGAAAATCTGAATGATCCCTTTACATTTTCCTACATAGGGGAGTTACCAATTGAATTTCATGCACCACATTCCAGCACCATATTCAGCATAAAAATGACTGACAGGAGCTGGAGGAGTCCCTACACAGACAAGCTGGCAGGCACAAGTGCAACAGTGTGAAAGGCACTGGCTCTGTAGCATTACTCCCCAAGTACATTCTCAGGTCACACACTAAAAATGTTTCAAAGTGCACAATTTATACAATAGAACAAGTATTTCACACTGAAATTATCTACATAAGGCTGTGAATTGTCACTACCCTCATGGGTCTGTATTTATTCCTGTGAGTAGACACTACTAGTTTGAAAGAGTAAGTTCAACAAACCTAAAAATAATTGGAAAGCAAACTACACTACTAAAGGCTGCAGTATGCACACTGAAGTTACAGTGGAGCCACTGAATAGCAAGCATTCCTGTGCAGTCAGTAACAGAGTGAGGGTACAACAGCTTGTGTTTCTGCATTATTATAGACAGAGACACTGCATAGCTAAAGTCACCATCCCAAAGTGAGCACAGATCTAGACAGCAAGAGGCGCACATGCACAAATACTATGTCAAACAAAAGCTTGTAATTTGTCTCTGAACAGCAATGCTGGAGAAACAAAAATGGAATTGAGTAATTTAAACAGACATAAATAGAAAAAAGTTTAACATACTTTAGTAAAATAAATAAGATAATATTTTCAGAAATTACATGACAATATAAAGCAAAATTACTACAAAGCTATTAGGAAAACCAGCAGATTGAAATCAGGACAGGATGTCAAGCCTTTACAAAGTGGAATCACTGGCTTCTAACATACCAGAACAGCAAATGCCACAGACTTAAGAGAAATTCAGAAAAAAAATGCATACATGGAACAAAAGGACCTACTTGCCCTGGCAGTATTAAGCAAACAACAATGAGAAATATCTAGCTGCAGTTGTTTCTGGTTAGATCACAACAATTACAACAATCAGCTCTCAGGACAGATAATGTGGCACAGCTAACCATGCTGATGGGAAGTTACAACTTATCCATCACGTTCCAAACCAACTTTTCGCTGGCAAAATTAAAAAAAAAAAAACAACAAAGAGGATCAAGAATATTAATCAAACAGTCATTTCAGTTGCCTGAGGAAACTCACATTTTCCTGAGAAAGATTGCTGGTTGCTCTAAGGCCCTCATCATGGATATGGTTTTGTAGTTCCTGAATCATATGAGGTAAACCACTGGACACAGCACGGAGCAGAGTATACATATTTGCCATGTCTGTAACAGAGATACATTTTTATAGAGTACACTTAGAAACATCAAAAATTAACACTTAATATAGTACCATCATTTCAAACAGAACTTTCTAAAGACTGAAACAATACCAACTGTTTTGAAAGCAAAAAATTAACATACACTAGATCACTGAGAAACGAAAAAAGGAAAGAGTAGGGCTACTATCAGTGTTTATTGAGTCCTGCCATTGTGACTACCTCACCCTTCTAATCGAGCTTGTTTAGGAGAGACTCTAAGAAGAGAGGTGGGCTAGTGTGGAGAAATAGTGTGCCAGTTTATTTTAAATCCTGGCCTTTCTTAATATCCCTTAGCAGCAGCTGATTAAAAAGAGTTTAGATATCTTCTTGACTTTTTACTTGCCTCTAGTGGTAGCTTGAAATTTTTCTCAGGTGAAAAAAGCTCTAAACAAGCAACTGCTATTTTTATTATATTTTTCCTCTCTGCACCCTCAAAAAAGAAACCAAACAAAATAGATGGAAACTCTGATGAAGCTTGAAAAATTCCCTGGAAACTGAACTCACCATTATTAAATACAATTTGAGTTTGACTGTGAAAAATAATTTGTTTCACATAAGAGACACCATCTTTCATGCAAGAATAAGCATTCTTTCAAAGGTAAGTGGCATGCAGTCATCAAGAAGCATGTTTTTTTAGTCAGGCAGGGAATATTAACTACAAGAGCATCTCCTTCTGTAAAAAAGATTTGGGAGGAGAGGTCACAAAAGATCCAGGACAATAAAAAGTGGCTATGAAAAGATGCCAAAATATTTTATAAGCCTGACCTGTTAAGTGATGATGAAGAAATCTGTTAAGGCAGAGCCATTGGTTTACAAAAGAAAACACAAGCATAAAATATTATTATTTCTACAGGACACAGGACTTGAATGTGTTTTTAAGATGACTAAGACAAGGAAAGAGAAAGAGCCTTAGCTGAAAGAAGGATTGTTAGCAGTAAAAAAAAAAGGTTTTGATTATATACTTGGAAGAATAAAAATTAGTTGTGTGCTAAACAAAAAATGTGATTCAGGGTTCAATGAAGATTTATCTAGATAAGTAACATTAGTTGAAAATGCTTATATGCACAGAAGGCCATTGAAAAAAGATAGGAAATTGCAATGCTAAGTGAATAAAACAAAAAACCATTCCAGTCTTTTTGTGACAAGTGAGACTTACCATTTCTTTTCTCTTGTCTGATAATATTGTGACATTCTGCATGTAGAAACTGCAAGTGATCAGCTACCATCCTCTGCTGGCATTCATGAGTCACCTTGCCATATGAGCTGGGATTCAAGTACTTCCGACACCGCATTTCTTCATCTTTTAATCTACCTAAAACCTACACAACAGAGTTTAAACTGCAAGCTGAAGAAATGCTGACAACCTATATAGCACCAGAATACACAACAGTGTATGTATGTACAATGAGAAACAAGAGTAAGTAAGAAGAGGTACAAAAGAATTTGTGCAGGATGAAAAATTTAATTTATTTATTCTTCGGAATCAGGCTATTACTGAATGGACATAATTTAGTCTGAGTACTAACTAGGCTTGGCCACTACTAGATGTCTACCAGCATTCCATAGTTTTCATCTTGAAATTTCTTCTTCCTTTTAATGTTGTGACTAGTCTTCCCCAATTTCTCTTACTCATACTTCTTATTCCTTCTGAGAAAATTTTACCGCAGTACTTAACAAAAAGAGAACTCCAAGAACCACTTTACTGTTCCAAGTCCATCTGCTCATATGCAAACATGTGCTCAATAGGTACAGGAGTACATCTGAGCTATTAATAAAAGCTCTTTTTATAACTCAGTGAAGGAAATAGGCTTAATCATAAAATAAGTCATATGAATACTGCCATAAAAGCACTTACACCCTGTGAATATGAGGGAGGTTTAGGGAGAGTAGTGCAGCTACAGACTGCTAGTGATACGCAAAACTGCTTTTGGTTTAGTTTAAGTCTTAGCCTGCCCCTGAATTTCAACACAGCTTAAAACACATTAACTTAAAAGCAATTCCACAGCCCTCTTCTCAACTCTGCTATCTTGGTAGTGCAGACAGGACAGGACCAAGAACTGACTCCCAGTATTGTATCAATCTTTGTTTTCTCAAAATAGGTATAAGAATTACAAATAATTTATTCACAACATAACTTCATACACCACAAAGCAAAATGAAAGTAAATCCACCTCAGAGTATGTAATTTTTAATAATGTTTTGTAACAACTTAAGAGTCTTTTCTAACCACATATTGCTAAAACTCTAATGTTACACTACTCCAAAGTGAAAGAAAATAAGGAAGTGAGAAAGTAATACTAATCAACCTGATATGTTTTAATTTTTTTGACTTTTCACTTTTTGTACCATTGAGTCACCATTTATTATGAAATATTTTGATACTGACTGTCCAGCCATGGCAAGGTTTGTACTCTATGTTCAGATTAACCATGTCACCAAAAAGTACCATTTCAATTAGATGAAAGCATAACATGAAGAACAACTATAAGAACTTCAGAGGACATCATGTATCATGAGTAAAATGATTTTAATTATTGCATGTATATTGAAGAATCTCTTACCTTCTCCATGTACTGCGAGCAATTTGACTCTTGCAATAAGTTCGAAGCTTCTTGTTTATAATACTCCCCTGTTTCATTCAGAAAAGGACACTCAAAAATTTCCTGATAAAACTAGAAAAGAAGTTTTTTTAAAGGACAAATAATGTATATACTAGACTGATATTCCAAATTAAAAATACATAATCAGAAATGTGCATCTACCTTTAGGGGGAATTTTTTCTTATACTGTTCAACATGAACAAAGGAGTTAATAACCCCATGGATTACTTTCTGGTTTGGGTCTTCTCCACAGCGATCACTGAAATAGACAAAGAAAACATTTATGAGAATGCAGGTATGTGGTGTAACTCATTTATAGCCAAATGAAATAGAATTGGATTAAAACATTTTCCAGTAAACTCCCCTGCTCAAACTGGCAAAACTGAAAGAGATTAATCTTAAAATAAAAAATGCACTTCTTTCTCTCATATACATTTAAATTTTTGAGATAGTTATTCATAAACATTCAAAAGCATTTAAAGGGTAAAGAAATTTCCAAGTATTTGCTAAGGATCTAAGTATTCCAAATTATATACTCTATGCAAGTAGTTTAAAAGCTACAGTAATTTCCATATTGTATTTGTAGCCTTTATTACATTGAGTACCTTTACACTCTTGCCCCTTCCAAAAAATCCATCCTTTTTACCAGCACCACAACAAGAAGTATGCTGTTTTCTTTTCTGAACATCTACTATTCAACATGTAGATTTCAAGTGGAATAAATAACACACCTGGCACACTATGTCATAATATTTCATCATACATCACACAAAAGGAAAACCTTACATCTTCCAGTGAAGTTCTTAGCTTCAAATGAAGGAGCTGAAGTGAAAACAATGCTGTCTTCAGTTCCATTCAGGTGAAAATAGAAGTAAATTAAAAAGACTGGTGTTCAGCCCTTTGCAAAGACTGGGAAATAACCAGCATTCAAAACAGCACAAACTTCCTCTTTAGACATGAAAAGCTCTTAAAAATTCCACTTTTCATATGTACTTTAGACATGAAAAGCTCTTAAAAATTCCACTTTTCATATGTACTTTACAACTCAGTAAAAAAAATTCTCTAACTCCTAAGGTGTTAAATAGGACTAAAATATGATTTATGAAAGGGTATTTATGATTAAGCATCAAAGACAAACATTACCATATAGCCATCTAGGCTGGGGGGAAATGGGAGAGAAGTAATTTTGCTAATATCATTTATTTTGGTTTGTAATCAGGAAAAACTCCAGAGGATGCCCATGAGCTGTGGAGGTTTATCAGGACAGCCACACCAGCAGCCATTGTATTATGCACACCAGACCATCTTCATGTATTCACAAGTGTTAATCATTGATACTGCTCTCAAACACTATTGCTTTCTCTGATCTGAAAACTTAAACTTAGGATGGGTGTCAAGAATTAGCTCTCTTAACAGATAATGAACAGTCCCTGTATGGTTTTTGCAGCTTTATTATCCATTACAGATGAACTGAACTGATGGGTTCCATCAGGGATGGTCTGATTTTTATCATCCATTACAGATGTACTGAACTGATGGGTTCCATCAGGGATGGTCTGATTTTTTTCACACAGGGAACAAGATTTCCTCTGGTTGTGGGAGATGACCAATAGAATAAACCTGGCTTTGGGTACATGTAATGACATCCTGCATCCTTGCCAAAATCTGTCTGCAGGGTCTGGTTTATGATGGCAGAGGCAGCAGCACAGAAGCACAGAAGGGAGAAGTCCCACCTGCCCTGGGGGCCCAGGAGCACAGAGAGCTGCAGGATGCACGCAGCCTGAACACAGGGCTGGGCCATGGAGCACAGGAAAGCACAGAACTAAAGGCTGAGCCTATTATACAAATATACAAAGGAACATTAGGAAAGAGCTGTATGAGTACAGGAGACATGCTCCATGGAAGAGCTGGAAGGAAGGAAACAAGCTGTTGAAGCAGAGGTCAGATGCTCAAAGGCAATAAATGAAAACAAACCCAGCACAGAACAGGCCTTGCCTGCTCTGGCAGCCATTTCAGGTTTTATTTACACCAATGGCACTCTGCTCCCAGGAATGTGTAGTGCAAACGTCAAAAAAGTTTGACAGAAGTTTTAAGGACGACTTTCACAAGAGCTGTAGTAGTAAGAACAACTGCCACACTATAATGGAATTGGTGACCCTGCAAAGGTAGAAGTCTATTAAACATTTATTTTCTTTCTTGGTAGCACTCAGCAAGCAATACAGATGCATAAAGCTACAGAGTAGCTGCAACACAGGTAGAAGCAGGGACGTCACAGGATATCTTGGGTACAGGAAAGGAATCTGGATAAAAAGATTAAGTGCTAGAAACACAAATTCCACTAATTTAGGTGGTGGCAAGTTTTTTTTTTTTTTTCCAAAAAATAGAGAAAGCTACAAAACACACCCAAGAAAGTTGTGCTGGTTTATATTAACTCCATCTTGTTCCTGTCCTTAGGCTCAAGCTAACAGTGAGTGTTCAACATGTACTGTACAGTGTATTACTACAGCCCCTTCAGGTACAATAATTAGATATCAAATGCATTAAAAGAAGATTCCATCACTCACAAGTGCTCTGCTGTGTCAGACCAAGGATCTTTCAAGGCCTATTACCTACAGAATTCATTGTCAACTAGGTGAGACTGTTCCAAACACTTTTTAAAATGTTAATTTCCAATAGTTTTAATTTCAAACAAATGGTACAGATAATGTATCAGCTTAGACAGGAATAGGTCCAGTTAGTTAGAAAATGTTAGTTATCTTTAGTAGAGAAGTTAGTCTGTCTCTCAGTTGGTCTGTACTAATCACACTGTCATTTGAGATAGCCCCTGAGTAATTTCCAAATTATTTCTGTTTAAGAATTTCATAGATGAATTTTCTCACAATTCAAGATCTTGTCAGCTTCCTGTTGTGTTGAAACAAGAATGCTTAAGTTAATACTCAGCTCACCTTGTAGGAAGAGTGCCTGGGCTAGAGGGAGGGGGATGAAAGTGTTACACTCAGAACTCTCTATTAGGAGTGCAGTCAGACAAGACAAGCTGAAGTGATTTCAGAATTCTCTGCTGTTCAAAGGGGCTAACCCTGTTCCCTTTTGCTCAGTCACAGCCCTCCATCTCTCTTCCTTTGCTTTGGCACTCATCTAATGCTTTGCTGAATTGACTTGTGCCAACTTGGTGAAACATTATCCAGGATGGTTTTCTGTCACATTAGCAGTTCAGCTGGGTCACTAAGGAACCAGGTGAGCACCAAATTCAGCACATGAAAGGCAGCAGAGCACAGCCTGCTCCTTTTTGGTGTCAGTAAAATCTTAGATCAGTTGTTCAGCTGAGCCACAGGCCACTACTTGTAGTTCTTTATTTTCATGTAAAAAAAAAAAAAGTTTATTGTCAGTTTTAAAGTATAATGTATTGCACAAGCTTATAGCTTCTAAAAAGTTGGTGTGCTCAAGGCTGTAGTCAGAGGTCTTCTTAAAAATCCAGTTAAATACACTGATACAGTAACATTTGAAAGAAGAATTTGTGGCTCTGCTTTCTTACCTTTTCCACTACAGTAAGAAAGCTACTTTTACATGCAATAATTTACTACAGTGTTGGTTATCAACTCCACATACTGTTCTATGCTACACAAACTTCCTACCATGAAGTAGTTCAACTGACCCATCCACACTAATTTAATTTTTTTAAAGCATTGTAATAAACTGAACCACGCACAAACAACTACTATGAGGAAGGTGTAGAATAGATGAGTTTTTAAACATATACATGTATTAGCAATTTTATTTAAAATTTAAAGTTATATGATTCCCATGCATATTCTTACATGTCTGACAGATATAACTTATGATATCCACCTTGTTTAATCCCTGAATTACTGAACTCAATGCTAAAAGACATTGAAATCACTTGCAGCAGCATCTTTAAAACTGCCTCTTAAAAACTGTATTGGCCACAGACATTACAGCAAAGAAAAGCAACAAGCCTATTGTTACATGCAAAGGCCATCCTCAGAGTCCCCACAGGAAGCACTGCATTTCATGACAGCAGGAACAAAAACAGCTACAAGAAGTAGTTCTCTCTTATGTAATTAATTAAATGATGTGCAGATCACAAAGTGGCTAGAAGAAACTTAATATGAATTGCTGGTTGTATATTTTGAGAAGCAGAACTAAATTAACTAAATTAACTTCTCTGAGACTCCTTAATAAAGAATGGGGAAAAAAATCCGAATCCAACCATTAGAGACAAGGACGGAAGTTTTATTCCAAAGTTTCCAAATAGTTTAGTAACAAATTATTTCAACTTGTTACAGTCTCAAGATCTAATACCTCCAAAAGCCAGTGACAGCCTTGATCTAAAGGCCCTGAGAAGGGCTGCAATCAGTTACAAGCTAAATGCAGACCATTATTTTAAGGGGCATCAGATATCTGTTGAAAAAGGTTTTCACAGACATTTCCACTCCCACCCACCAGTGAAATAAACACATTAAGTAAGACAAGTCTCCAGCATCACTATGCTTGATGTAACAAAGGAGAATGTTCTTCACCATGAATTAGGGAATCTCCATTTATTAAAAATAATGGAAGTAAAAATGGATAAAGCACTATTAGTCCTGGTTACAAAGGAACCATGATTCAACAAGTGAAAACAAAGAAATACTTCCTGGCTTCAGAAATGCCATCCAAAAGAGACATCATATTCCCTCCTTTGTTGTCAAATATTTAATTCAGGAAAGAAAAATACAAATTAGGTTTTCAATGCCTTACAGGTTTTTTTCTGACCAAGTGCATGTTCAAAGAAATTAATCTGCTAAGACAGCTCTCCCCCTCAGTTTACCTACACCAGTCTGGTCACCTGAGTAATCACTTAAAAAACCCCATTATTAGACAACTCCAGAGTGTTGTATCCTAACACTGGTAGGAGTGCAGAAACTGATGAAACTTGCAACTATGCACAAGATCTGTAGTAGATCCCGAATTTCTGTTTATTCATAAATTAGCTTCCTTAGAAGTTAAATAAAATTTTTAAATCAAAGCTTTACAAGTCCCAAGCTCTTTGGCTTTGTTTAGAAGTATTAAAAAATATATTCAAAAATAAAATAATAACTTTGCTTCAGACTACAAAAATTAATTATCTTCATTTTACTCAAGTGAAACACCAGAAATGTTAAGTGAAGGTACTGATCTGAAAAATAGAAACCCAGAAGCTTTGTCACTTGCCAGAATTGTTCTGGGTTCCATACAAACACAGTTTCTCTGGCTTTGGCAAATCTTTGCCCAAGGTCTGGTCCTTAACTTGACTGACAGCACAAAAGCTAAATGCAGACAGCATCAGGTGGAGAAAAAGGCAAAAAGCATCCTATGGGACCTGGACATTTATTCTAACTCCTCTCCTATGCCATTGATAAGAAGGGTTGCTGAAACAGAAAGATCACTGCTCTGTGGTTACAGGGAATTCACTGCCTTTTTGTACACATGAAAGCCACAAATACACAGCTACAACAAGAAAAGCTGATAGACCATCACCATCAGAAAAGAAGTTACCTTAGAAGAACCAAACATAAAAAAATTCTGTCAAAGTCCACAGATTTTCAAAGTAAAAAAAAAAGTGCAATACCCCCACCTTATGTTAAAGCAAGAAACAATCACTCACTTTTTTATTTCTCGGAGGAGCATCCGAATAAGGATGGCCTGCAGTGGCTCAATCATTAATTTTCTCCACATATCAAGAGCTAGCTGTCAGGACACAACACAAGTTGACATCAATAAAAAGTACATTTTAAAAAAAACCTAAAAACCACCACACCAAACTCAGGACAGGACCAAAGATGACACAATTCCCATTCAGGATTTTAAAAATTCAGTTGTTAGGTAAGCTCTTCTTTCCCTAGTCAGGCAGTATGTGAATGTTGGCTTCCCAGCCTGCATTCTTCCTACACATCTCATAGAACTGATTCATTCCTCGGTTCTACTCCAAGGATTCTCAAATGCATATAAAGACTCCAAGCAAGTTGGTTACAAGGGCAGATTTTGAGACTACACATAAACAAAACCTCTGCACAGTAATATGTAAGTAACACACCTTTCTAACCCAAGTGTGTGAATGTGTACAAACACCAGTATTTCTAACAATGACTGCAAAATAAGCCTCAACTGACAAAAGAGATTTCTCTTGGCCAATCTGTCAGAGGTGACAGTCAAAAACACAGAATCCCTTCACCAACACACAAAGAACACCTCCAAACTAAGATGCTTACATCTTAACCAAAGTCACCGGCAAGCAAACATTTGGCTTCAAATGGAATTCAAATCAATTCCAGAATTCATCAGTTCTTATGGGTGAAGCCATTGCTCCCAAGATACACCATTTAAAAAAAACCACAGTTGGAATAGTTCAAATGAGCTTTTGCACTTGAATCAAAGTCAGATTTAAAGCCCAAAAGGGATAAAGTGATCCCTTATATACAGAGAATAATTGCACATAGGAGGCCTCCAAAAACACCTGCCAGGAAGTAGCAGACTGGGAAAAAATAAAACTGCACAGTTCAGTAAGGACAGAGGGAATATTGCTTCTAAGAAAGCTTTGACACAACTAACAGGTCATTACATTTAAAAATTAAACTATCAGTCAGGTATGTCTTAACTGAAAGCAGGCACATAGCTATCAACTGCTAATCTGATCCCCTCAGTGAAATAAATTTCCTTTCTAAAAAGCAAACAAATGAACTTGCTCCAACTGTCACAGCTATTCAGCACCCACACTGCAATACAGAAAGTAAACCTGCCACAACTGCACCATAAGCAGGCTAAAGGAGAGGTAAAGGTTTGCTTATAAATCCAAACACAGATCATGTTTTGAAACCTAAGTTGTCTTAGGAGAGTAGCTGGAGAACAGGCAAGTTTCTGTAAGACAACAGGAACTCATCCAGTACAGAATGAAAGAAGCCAGCTGAAAGAAAACAGCTCTGGAGAGACAGAAGAAAAGGAGGGGGAAAAAAGGAGAAGAACTGACACATTTCGTGAATAGGTGGTGAAAAGAAACAACCTCAGGTAGATCAATTCTGCAATGTGGTCTAGCATGGTCCTCACATATGAGCTACCAGTGGGAAGCAAAGTCAATCACCTATTGGAATTTTCTTGTCAAATAAACTATAGACAGATCAATCCAGCAACTTGGTTGTATTAGTTCAAGACAGTTTCTCCCACTCGAGGACAGGGACTGATCTTACTTCTCCAACTAGACTGGCAGCACTGAAAATGGCAGTTTTCTCCATTTTGCCAGAATCTATTTCTGGGGGTAAAAAAAACCAGAAGGCACATCTTAAACAAAGGTATTTAAACTCAGGGCTCTCACAGAGCCATTGAAAATTCAAGAGTTTGAAATCAGTGATAGGAGCTCAACTCAGAAAAGCAGTGTCCTTCACCATGCATTCATAACAGAGAGAGAAGAAAAAAGCAAGCACTTGCAAGCAGTGGCAGACTATTTTCATTAACTTATCTCATCCTGTACATTTCCTAGTACAATTACTGAATGTCTGGAACACTTGGGGGAAGAAGAACTGTTTGAAGCTGTGCCCACACCTCACACACACAGCTCTGCTCTCATGTACAGACCTACTGTTACACCCATAGAAGAACTGGGCAAGAATGGACTTGTTTAAGATTACTGAAAAGCTCCCAAAGTTTTGTTACCACACAAGAGTGATGTTGAGACAGAAACTTCAGAACAGAGAGTGCAGTTCTGCTTCTAAAAATACTGGGCATTATTTCTGTAACTTCATGCTGAGACTGAAGAGAACAATACATAAAATAAACATGTTTGCCCTTGGGTAGATAAAGGCCAGATCATTTCAGTCATCTAAAATGTAATACATAAACAGTAATTCTTTCCATTCTAAAGTGATGAACAACAAATAATTTGACTTCTACTAGAGCCCTTGTACAATCCAAAGAATAAAAGATAGAATCCTACAGGAACCATAATGAAAGAGTAAATGCTTTCAAAACAAAGACTTGACAAACTTGCCAAGTGCCTTGCAGGTCAAGAAATGCAGCAATGAATTCACCAAAATAGTGCTGCAATTTAATACATGAATGTAGGACTCAAGTCTCCATTAATTTTCAGGACAAAGGAGTGACTGCTATAAACTTAATCCTACACCAGTTGTGAACAGATATTAACTTTACTGCCTTGAGATTAGCAAGGAAAGCTTTTATACTTTGTCACATCAAGAAATAGAAGCCTAAAAACTAATATTTCAAGGGCTTCCAAAAACAAAAGTATACTAATTCTTCAACATGTTTTTTAGATAGCAGTATCACTTAAGAATCTAAAGTTTATTTGCAAAGTGTTTCTATTATCACATTTTAAATCCAAGTTTTCCAACCGTTTTCATATTTGTTTCTTTTCCCTGCCAGGTCACTCTTATTTTTCTACACCAAAACTGTAATCTCATTTTACAAGGGGAACAGTGCTTACATGTACAATATTTCTGTGACATAAAAAAGTGAAAATTTTCAAGGGCAAAGCTGAACTCATAGCATTCTAAATACTGTTTATAGCCAACCCCACTTTCAGAGATACCTACCTCTCCAATTTCCATCAAAGGTTCATTCATATCCACCCCTCCATAACCATACTGAAGATCAGCTTCAGTCAATTTGTTCTTCTTAATAAACTGTGTGTTGAGGTACCTATAGAAAAAAGGATATCCTCATCAAAACAGGCACAAATAAAAGGCTTTTTAAATTAAGATCAGAATTGTGGAATGTGTTTCGCATCACAAAATATATAACCTCCTTAAACCAATGCCATGGCTATTTGTAGAAAAATGTTACAATACAAATGACATTGAAAGAATTTTCATCACATTAAAACAGTGGTGTTGGTAACAGAGATCAAACAGGAACCTGAAATATCACTGTCAGCATTTTCTTTGTGAGCAATATACTTGTGTAAGAATCCAATCTTTCAACATGCTCTGCTTATACATACATACATGCGTTTCATATACATACATATATGTGCAAAATATCAACTTTTAACTTAAAAGCATTTCCTTCTACCTGTACTGTTTATTGTTCTGTGTTTCTCTCAAACTGAAATGCAGAAGAACTGCTCATTTTAATAGGGCAAACTTTTGTCTGTTATGATCCCTTACTCAGGTCATGGTAGCTAGCTAACAGCCAGATTACAAATTTTAAAGAGAAGAATTTTCAGAAATTATTTTAAGTAACAGCTATAAAGAACAAATGCTATAAATGCTATTTTAAAATTCAGTATTTAGTACTGTATGCATAGTTTTTATAAAGAACACAGAATGGATTCTGTGCAAGACCTGCTAAAACATCCCTCTTGACTCTCAGTATTCCCACAGAACAAATATTGTAACATTTTTAAATGGAACCATTCTTTCCTTTCCCAGATAATTGGGAAAAAAAATAAAATATATATTTCCCAACTACACTTACAATATTTCTTATAATAAAAATGTTTAAATAAGGCAACTGAGAAGGTTTTTTAAATTTCTGATCTAACCAGGAGTTTTGAGATGCTCAGTTTCAGGCATTGAAAAGAACCAGATTACTGATGCACTTTGAGAGATTCAGGCTTCAGAGGCTGCACCAGACCAGAGGTGTCTGAACACTCTTGACATGAAGGCAAAAGCCAAGCAAAGGAGAGAAGGAGGAACACACTGTGAAATCCTGTGAACTTGAAAGAATTTAGGACACCACAGAGTCCAAAGAAGGAAGACTTGTCATAGTGCAGTGATGAAAAATTGGAGTACAGCAGCCACTTTCAGACTCTTACTGTAACCTGTGCTACCACGGATACCAACCATTACCTGTAAATGCAGATTTCTCTAGAAGGCTCCAGGCCTCCAGGTCACACAAAACCTGTGAGGACATTAGGAACACCTCAAACACCAGCCCTAAGCAGGCTCCTTGGTGGCATTTTCCCATATTCTCCCATGTGAACAAAGCCAACAGCTGCCAATCTGCTTTTTCTCATTAAACTTGCTAAGAAGCAAAGTCCTGCACTCCCCTCACTTACTCTCCCTTGCATCAGTACATACAGAGTAGCATGTAAAACTAAAAATTGCTATATCATATGCTGGTATTATATAAATATTTTAAAGACAAAATGGAACAAAGCAAAAGCTGCACCATGTGTGTTTAGTTTTCAGGATTTTATTATGAAAAATCGTAACAGTTGGGATGGTTTTTTTGGTTTTTTGTTGGTTTTTTTTTTTTAATGACCTAATTTCAATTTACTGGATAAGGAAACTTTCCCAATCACTTGAAATAAAGTACACAGACTGGACACTTGAAATAAAGTACACAGACTGGATTTTTTTAAAGTACCTGTGAAACCAGTTACAGCACCAAGACACTGGTAAGGCCTAATGTCCACCATTGGCTTTATCTATTATTTACTTATTTATTATTATTTATCTATTTATATGAAGAAGTTTTCTTCAGTGTTCCTTATTGCATCAGTTTTATCACCTTGGTTTAGTCAAGCACATGTGGGATTTTCATTTTCAAACTGAACCAGATTTGTTTTCCTAGCAAAATGCACCAAGGAGGATAGGTTAAAAAAAACCAAACCAAAATCAACACTGAAGAAAGAAAAGATATAACTCATTTTCCAATTACATGATTGATCTCACATTTAAGGAATTTTGCTCAAAAGTGTCTCACATTTGAGCAGTGTTTCAAATATTGCCTACCAGGTTAGAAGCAGAGATGCAAGCCTAATTAAATTTTAAGGGAATCTATTTGAAAATAATTTTCAGATTACCACCTGTCGACATTAATCAATTTTCATTGCAGGAAGAATTATCCAAACTACAGCCTGGGATACAATAGAGCCAACTAAATTATGGTACTTTTTTCAGAGCAGGCATGCAATAAGAAAAGAACTCCAACTGATTCCTAAAAGGTAAAATATCCTAAAGCTTTGACTCAAACCATGCTGGTTCAACTGCAAACTGCAGTACAGTGCCATCCTTGTAGAACTCCCAGGATTATGAGCTTATACACTGCAGGGTTGATTAGCACCAACACATTTAGCACTGCAACATCAAGCAGAATAAATTAGTAATGAAAGAACTTTAGGAACCGTCTTGGATACTTACCTGTTGATGCATTATTCCTTTTTGCTCATGTTCTGCTACCATAACTATATTCTCTCCAAAATTAACCTGAGGCATATTCATCTATTGCTCTCTCAACACTCTTCAACTTAACCTGCAGATCATGTTAAATTTCATGTTAATTTCAACGGTTTAACAACTCTTTTGCAAAGCTTACCTGTATAAACAGTCCATATAGTCTGCCCCTTTGCTATACTCTTCCCAGTATCTGTGATACATAACCAGTACTTGTTCTTCAGCTTCCAGAACTCTCTGTGAAGGCACACACACCCCACACACCAGAATTAGTATGAAAATAGCACACATACTTAGGAAGTTATCATGGGATTACAATTTTGGAATAGTATTTGCATATTCAGAATTGTGGCAATGACCAAAATAACACATCTTAATACTACCAAGTTTTGGTAAGCCAGCTAGAACACCTGGACTTGCTTTATTTTGCATTTAAAAACAGCAATCTGTCTACTGAATTATTTTGTATTGATCTTTTCAGAAGTACCTGCTTGAATAAATCTGGCTCACATTCTCACATCACATTGGTGGGATAACTCACAGAACCTTCCTCTGACTGACACAGATCAGTTTTATATTCACCCAGCTACATGCACTGCACACTGGAAGAATTGACTATAACCATTTAAAACCACTATGTCTTACTGGATAAACAAGTCCTCATACTTACCAAGAATGACAGAATAAAACAAGTTTAACAAAGCACAGATACATGTAAATGAAAAAAAAAAAAGCTTTAAAGTTTTTCAAATCTAGGCCCAAATCTTTTGAAATTTAAGCAAATCATCATCTAAAAAGCTACTGAACTTCTCAAAATAGATTCATACTTCAGAGAAGTTCAACAATTTAGACTAATGAGTATGATTGGAGAGGGGGGACAAGATCCTAGGAATTCAACTTTAACTCTCTCTAGAATAATTTTAAAATCTGGCTCAAGAAGCAAAGAAGCCCATGCAAAAAAATGCAAAAAAGGGTAAAAAAATTATGAAAGAAGAAAGCTGGCAGATAAAACAGAATTGAGAATGCTTTCCTCTGCTGTATGCATTTTGCAAAGGTTTTAAATTTAAAAACCTGATGTATGCTTTCTGCTACTTCTCAAAACTTCCACAGTGCTGGCACCTGCCTGATTATCCTAAGTGAGCTCATTCAGCTCACTAAATAAATGAGGAAGAAATTATTTGGCAGAGTTCTCTGCTAGTTTAGTGAATCGATTTAGTCTATAAGAGTGCCAGAATTATCCTCTCTGTAACCAGTGGAACTGCCCATTAAGACACCAGTCTATCTTGTCAAATACTCAGTACCTAAGCATGAAGCCATTTAGCAGCACTATGCACAATTTGCAATGCTTTGCTCCCTATAAAGACACTAAAGACTGATAAGCACCTTATTTAAATCTACTGCTATTTTACTGATCTAGATCGAGGCACCATTCATCTGTCCTATCTACTAAACATGATGAATCATAATTCTAACAAAATTTGCTGTCTTAGCTGATGAAACAGAAGCTACCTCACAGCTATACAGACATACAAATATTGTTGTCATAATAAATAATTTGCCATTATTTCCTCTCCTCCCAAGTGTTTGTGTTATGTCTCACATATTTCAGAAGGTTTTTGTTTATTTTTTAAGAGTATATACAATCAGTTTCCAAGACACTAGAGCAGATACATTTCTGTTGAAACAGAAGGCTAATGACAAACTACAGAATGTTTGCAAAATGAAGATGTTTCTCTAACTTGTCTGATTATAAGCATTCAATGTAAAAGAAAGAACTTGCTTTTCAAGCCAATGAATATATTACACAAACCATAACTGTTGGCTTAGAAAGAAAATTATTTCTTTGTGTTGCATATCAATAGGTATCTATAATACCTGCCTGCATTTGTGTACATGTTGTGACATGTGTTACATATTTCATATATACAAACAGTGTGTCTCTGCAACTCTGTCATCTGTGATTTAGTCTCATAAAGACCTACAAAAAGTCAAAAAAAGAATCAGGATATCAGGAACTGTACAGGTTACCTTGTGCAAATGGCGTACATGATTCTCCAAAAAAATTTTAGTCTCAGTATAAAGTCTCTCTCCAAGAGGTTCAGGATAGGCCACACACAAAGCATAAATGTCTCTGGGCTCAAAGTCAAGGTTTGTAATAAAGTGTGAAAACACAGCAACAAAGTTTATGATTAAAAGAACCCTTTCTTCTCCACACATGTAGTTTAGGTTTTGGGGTTTTTTTACATCAAGCAAAAAAGATAAAATTAATCATTTTCTGAAATTATTGTAAGTATTGGCTTGTGTAAAATCCAAGTTTACAGCATCAATATTAAATAGTGAATGCTGAGGCAATGTTAGAGCTAAGATCTTGATAGCCCCATACTGATGTGGCTTCTACCCTTTATTTGCCATGTATAATACACAATAATCTCAAGGTGCAAAGCAGCTTTCAGGCACCATTCTTCTGCATTTGCAGCCAACATGAACTGAAACTCTTCTCATATAATGGAAAGAAGCACTAATTAGATTAAGAACATGATTAGTCAAGTACAGAGCAGAGCAAACACACAGTGAAGCTGACTTCAAGTTTTCCTTCCTGGAGTCCAAAATAACTTACTGTCCCTGCATTTTGCCCTGACCTCCACAGGTAAAACAATTTCAGGGGACACTGAAAATTAAATAATCACAATGGTGGTGTGGATAAAACAAAGTCTGTATTCTTTTTAACCATTATTATCATTTCAGTAATCCTGTTTAGATCACAGCCACAAAAAACAGTTGTGCATGATAATTTAAACGGGCAGCAGCAACCTGCTAAGCCACCCTTAAGATGGTTTTGTCCCTAAACTACCTTGCAGAGCTACACTTTTGTTTTTTATCAAGTTTTAAGAGTAATTTGAGGAAGAGAAATTATGACTGAGAACTTTGCTTTCAGAAAAGTCAAGCAAGGATTAGGTCAAGCTTCATATAAACAACTGTGGGAAATAAACTAATTCTGCAAAAATTACTTTAAAACATGGCTTAGCACTAAGCCTAGGCACCTTATAAAGCCAGCCATAGTAGAAATCAATAATTTAGTATATCACTGCAATCAAGGGAAGACACAAGATCTTTCCTCTAGCCTACCCTAAAAAGCACATGCCTGTGTGAAAGGAGGTAGATGACAGCTGAAGAGTCACCGGCTTAATCTACAGAACAGTGTCAAGCTCTCATCACACAGCCTGTCCAAATGCACATTTCATTCTTTATATAGAATTACTACTCAAAGCAAAGAAGATTCTGATGTAGGAGAACTAATTAGGAAAAAACCCTTTATCTGGCAACTGGAATCTGAGACCCCAACCAGAATCTAAATTAGAGTACATTATTTCCCTCATATAGATCATCTTTGCTAGAATTCTCCTCAGAACAGCAAAAAGTGTTAAATGGAAACACTGTGAAACATAATGGGCAACATCCCCAGCTTTGTAACAGTAGCTACCATTGCACTACACCAGCATGCAAAGTAATGACCACTAAAATATCAAAACAAATTTAAACCGTGAAGAATGAAATATTCTATGAAAGAGATTGTAAAGAATAATTGGTTTTCACACCTTCCCCTCCCCAACAAATTTTCTCAGTCTAAGGATGGTGAGTAGTCAAATGCATCCTAAATAGAATTCAAGCCACAAGCCTCTTCATTATGCAAAGGTATTTTTGAGAAATTAAACTCAGAATTAGAAATCTTAATAATTTGCTCACAAGCAAAGGGGATATGACTTGTTTCTCTTTTGATCCACAACTACACTACCTGAAACACCACAACCTACAGATCTCTACAACAAGAACAGCTTACAAATTTAGAGGAAATAGGCAGTCTTCACCACAGCAGCACAAGAATATAGCAATTACAGTTTACTTGATGAAAGCACCAAACAAATCTCTCTGATTTTATCTTGTGAACAAGTTTCTTAGTTTTAATAATCCTAATTAAGAATGAAAAGGGTACCCCTACTCCTTCATGAAAATGCACATCTTCCAAACATGCCTTTCCTTATTCCAGCAAACAAATTTCCTTACAAATGAAGAAAGCTGAATCTAGTACTCCTTCTTGACATTTGCCACTGTGCTTAATATCAGCAGATGCACAAACTAAGAGCTTAATCACAGAAGCACTAGAGCAGGCACCTAACCCTCCTATGTAAATCAAATACTACTGGCTGGATATCAAGTTTCTCTAGAATTATACAAAAGAAAGCTATCATGAGACTGGAATATATCTGACTGAAGCAAAACTGTTCTTTCTTGCTCAATTTGTACTTGTTTCTTTATGCATTTTATCTCTGAGTCCAGAATCCAAATTTCAGTGTCATATTCAAAGTGTTGTGACTCTCTTAACAAAAAAAAAAAAAATCTCTGAAAAAAAATCTCACTGATCATCACTGGTATTTTACTCCATAAACTTAAAGCACATTTTTCCTGTGCTGCTGTCCAACAGAACAACAGGAAGAAGCCTTTACTGTTCAATAATTTATCTTTAATGGTGGAAGCCATCTGTGCTTCCAGTTCAGCATGCAGTTTTGCAGGGTGAGAAAGGCCAGAGGAAGCTGCAGCCAAAGTGCTGCCTAGGGGCCTTCACTCTTATTGAGAACAAGAACATCAAAACCCTTCTGTGACCCTGAAGTGCTTTGGTAGTTGCTATTTGAGAGGTATAACCCAGCAATGGGAAACTGAAGCACTTCCAAACTAAGAAGGAACAACAACAAAATTACTATCAACAAGAAAATGCTATAGCCAAGACTATAAAAACTCACAAATATTGTCCTTGGAGTTAAAAAAAAAACACCTAGTTAAGACTTCTCTAGGCAACCACTGTAGAGCTTTGGGAAAATTTCTATTCATCAATCTTCTGTAACAGAACCAAAATTTGTAGAGAATTTCAGGACTTAGTCAGAAAGAACCACGACCATTCGAACTCTATTTACTCTTCCTTCTCAACCAGTTGTTTTTAAAGATAAATGTTTAAGTTTTGGTTCATCATAGGGTCCTTGCAAAACAATTCATCAGAGGAGGGAGAACAAATTTGGAGAAAAAATGGTGAAAAAAAGCAGATGGCCATGTTGCATACTTTTAAAATAATTCTGTTTGAAGTACAGCTGTCTCTGGGTACTGTTGATCTTATGTTAACTTCTGGGTAGAAATCCCAAGACAACAACAGGAAGAGTTTGATGTTCTACCTGTTCAAAAAAGTTCTAGTTAAAAGGCAGTTACCAAAGCACAGAGGAACTACCCACTACTCTCTAACCAAGCCTTAACCTAAAAAGCACTCCTGAGCCTGCAGAGCAGCCTTGGAAGTGATACAATGTATTCCCAACACCACCTCCAACAGAGACATAACTGTCACTCATTTACCAGACAATGAAACAAGTTCGTACACATTTCTTTCTGCAGAGAATCTTAAAAGGAAATCTGAAGGTCAAAGGTGGATCAGGATGACTCACATTTTAAATAAAGTGACATATGGTCTTTCAGGTGATCTTTTCCAGAAGATTTTAACTCTTACACCATTGTGGTTCCCAGCTCATTGCCATTCTAGCACTTCCAGTATGAGGTAAAACGTTTATTTAAAGATAACCCATGTTCAACAACAAAATTACCATAAGTTACAAAGGAAACACTATGCTCAAAACAAACAAGTTCTGGGGAACTAGTGGGGCAAAAATTAGTTCTAGAAGAGGAGTATGTGCAGTACAAGCCTGTCATCCCTAAAATACAGTCAGCTTCCATACTCCACTGGATCTCAGCTGCCCCAAATAGCACAAGGGAAAGCTAACACTTCTTAGAATACACTGCTGCAGACTGAAACAGTGATTGCTTGCTCTATCTTATCCTTTGTTTCCACATCACCCTGTTGACTATATAGTACAAAGATCAACTGATACTATAATCAATGAAATAACCTGTATGGGTTTTATTGAAATAATTTCCCATCTTTCTATTGTGCTGACTCAAGCAATAAGAAAAAGAGTTAAAAGAACATTTCCTTTAGAATTGCTGTAGATGTTTAGAAACACTACTCCAATTAAAATTAGTTTAAGAGAGAATAAAAAGTCAACAGGGAACAAAATGACGTATTATTAAATGCCAATTTTTTAGAATATGCTTAAAGTCTTCTTTATGTATAAAACCTGGAAAAAGCTTTTATTCCAGCTGTATAGAACTACCAGTTCCACCAAATTGTTGAGCACTCATTGAGCAGCTTGTGTTAAAACAGAAAATTTGGTTATAGAAAGCAGAAATAGTGAACAACCAACACTCAAGCTGGAAGTGGCACAAACTCCTTGGGCCATTCAGCCACAGCCAAAAAGCCAAAAGGCTCCTGCCTGTGCCAAACCAGGCACTAATAGTGCCACTTTCCAAGGAAAGTAATTAAGAGATGATACTAAGTAAGGTCTTAAGAGTTACATGCCAAATGATTATTCCAAGACTGCTTCCTAAGTCTGCTATTCATAAGCAATCCTTTTCTGATGTTCAATCAACTGGACTAAATCCCAAAAGAGGATCAACAGCAAACTTGTGTGCAAGGTCTCCACATAAGAAGCTGTAACCAAAACAGTGTGACAAGGAATCAACACAACATCTCCTGCAACAATTCTTATTTTATATTCAAATCTGTTTTAAATATCTTTGTTTCAATGTTTAAAGTTTTAAGCTGCAGAATTTAACACTTGATAAAGACTGAATTATGTAATCCTCAAAAACTGCTTAGCAAGAATGACTGTAAAACAACTTCTCAGCATGTATAGTACCCACCTAATTAGTTCAATTTTTTTTTTTAATTCTGGAGTCATTTGAACTTTAATTCAGTACAAGGTGACAGGTCATGCTCCCAGAAATTAATTACAAAGTTTTTAAATGAAAGAGCTCTTTAGGATTATTACACCACAAAACATCACAAGAACTAGGAACTATGTCCATATACACATACACATGTTCAAAACACAGGCACATGGGAAAGCAATTCTGAGAAATAGTTAACATGGTCAGGATGAGATGAGACTTTGGAGTCAAGCCCCTGTCCACAGAATAAGCTTATCTTGTAAAAACTTATGTCTAAGGATCTTCTCAGGTGCTTCTTTTTTCACCCACAAGAATTAATAAATCAATAATAAATCTAAACTATTCTTCCCCCTTGCAATTAAACCAAAATGTGACCAATCCCTGCAGAAGAGGTGCAAAGCCTCCTAAAATTCTCTAATTATTCACCATGATGTAATGGCTAATGAATATATAGACACAAGCCACAGAATAACTGGTTAGAAACATAATACTTCTTTTAAAAGAAGTTCACTGAAACTTAAATCTTGCAAAATATTACATGTAAAACACAAACCTTTCCACTACAACAATGTATGTACAGCTGTGACTTGAACAGCAACACCATATGAATGCAGAAAGAGTAGTTATTCTGAAATATAGCTTAACTGTCATGAGTAACAAGGCAGTAACAGTGGAGGGAAAGGAAGAAGGCTTTTTAATAAATCCTTGCTGTGGAAATGTCTAGTATGGTAGTTATCAGTACAGTTAGAAATGCAAAGAAGAGAGAGAAATCTTTACACAGAACACCCTCATCATCCCCCACATCCCAAATTTAAAGATGTGCACCCTGTCTTGGGTATTTCCCTGGCCACACACAAACACTTGGACATACAAGAAAACCTCATTGTCAGAATAGGGGACACTCAATACCTGTAAGAACAGCTTTAGCATAAGCTAAGTATTAAAGCTACCAGAAGTGACTAAAACTGAGACAAGTTTACTTTTTATCAGCATGGTGATTTTCACATAGATTACTTCCCAAATATGCAGAATTTCCCATCCCTTTCAACTTATTCACAGTCCTAATAACAGGTGCAGCCTAACAACAAGCTGCTCAAGATCACTGTTATATAACACAGGTTTACTCTGGGCTAAACACATCACACAAACACGTTCAGTCAGATTTTTCACTTAAAGGATACGAGAAGCGATCGTTCCACGTTGCTCTTTCAACATAATCCAACATCACAACAGCTTTAATCGTTGTTAGAAGTTTGTTCCATGTTTCATCAAAGTCAACTACTCGTGGTTTCAAGGACATTGTGGGGCTTTAGTGTTAATCTGTAGAAGAATTAAACATGTCAGAAAACATTGCACAATCATTAAAAAAATATACACTTCCTTTGAATTTTTCAATTTAAACTTTGTACACAGGTGCACCACTATGATAGAGTGACACAAAGAATACCCACCCCCTCCAAAATGAAGCTACAATCCCTCATTTTTAATGCTTTGGAATGGAACATTAATGTTCCATAGGCATAAGTAGTTTATAACATAACACCAACTAATCTAAGAGTATCATGCTTTGTGAAGCTCATTATCTCACCAAACTATTCATTTAAGAATGTCACACGAAGAAAACAACTTTCCTGTAAATTTTGATTTGTTGACTTTTATTCCAAGACTGTTTCAACTGTATCTAAGAAAATTTGGGGTAAGAACAAACTAAACTGTTACCAGAGTATCTGAAATTCCCACTCAGTTTGCAGCCTATGTTCACCTCAGGCTTTCAAGAGACATTTTTGGTGTTACATTTGAAAAGCCACAAAACCCGAAAGCTTTGATTGGGATGTGAAAAAGAAAACACAGGGCAATATGCAGAGCTTGTGCACAGCTTACTGGACTGTGCAGCAGGACAGTGACATCTTTCCAGTAAGATATGCCTTGAAGACACAGAAGCTTTGCTACTAATATCCTATCAAAATCAGCAAATTTATTGAAAAAAAAAAAACAACCAAAAAAGACCACCCAATCAACATTAACTTATCTAAATAAAACTATGGGGAAAAATAAGGTGATTTTAAAAAGACAACTGTGAAGGCCTTATTTCCCCTAATCTAGAAAGGACCTGATGTGTGACATTCCATGTACAAAGCAAGCCTAGCTCCTGCTCAGAAACATGATATTGTAAGACTACAATAAAAAGCGGAAATACTTCTGTTTCTATTTCAAACAGATGGACAAGTGACTCTTGTCTTTCCCAAATTTCAAGGTCAGAAGGGAAAGTAGAAAGCTAGTGACAGACTTTGAGCATAGAGGCAGGCCTCACTAAGGGAAAGAATCAAATGTCATGCTAAAAAACTATTTAGCAACCAGCTTACTACCTTAACCACTACCAGCTCTCACAGGATATACCACTTCTCAGTTTAAGAAAAAAGCAGTAAAATCAGATGCAACTTTTAGCATGCAGGCATACAACCCACCCCTCTAACTAAGCTCCTCAACTGCTGTAAATGTTGTGATATTTGTAACATGGTTATCAATTCAATCCAGACATGTCGGCAGGAGCTTACACAGAAAAATCAGTGAGAAGTGGCAAAGCAAAGACCCACCAAAGAAAGTAAGCTGAAAAACACACTGGTTCACAGAAATGTGACCTTAGCAGAGGCAGACAACAGCTCCCTTCCAGGATGGGAGAGGGGGAAGTGGTAATCTTCAAAAAGCCCTAATACCCCTCTTATGGGAAACACGAGAGCATTTCCAGCTGGCTCCAAGAAAAAATAATCATGGTCCACAAAAGACATTAACCATCATAATAAGTGCTTGTGGTAACGAAGCTGTACTTGTGCTACATTAGAAGTTGCTGTCTTGGAAACACATGTGGTACACCCAAGGTAAAAGAGCCCTTTCTTCAAAGACAAGCAAAACCGAGGGGAAGAAGGAAAGGAGAAGAAAAAGTCCTCCCCACAGTATATCCCAATGTCATTAATCAGTGTCACCGTGTTCAGGATGATTAAAACCAATACTGTGTAAAGCATCCACATGGTCATCCAAGTAGTCTGGAGTTAAATAGTTTAAGATAACTGTTACTTGGCATTCTCTTACAACTTTTATGGAAATAAAAATTTAAATGTGTTTTACAGGCATTTAAACAAGTATGGTGTAACTTTTACTGTAAGACACCGGGTTTTTTGGAGTATGCTGTGCTCCAGTGTCAGCAAATGTTTTGTATTGATCATGGTAAGAACTACAGGAGGGCAGAATATCTACCCTAGGGTTTAGACTATTAGAGCGTGGGGAGCCATACCTGTTTGATAAGCCCTAAGGTAAACAGATGTTATTGAAACATATTTACTCGGCATGATAATGAAAGGATGCTGGTTCTATAGCCTCATTCTTTAAAATACACCACTGTCATACTGCAAATATTTGTTCACACAAACAAACATAGTATTCTGTCCAGCATCAAAGAACGCCCCAAATTTCCAAGCTATTTAACCCCCTCGATCAGCAGCATCACAAGCCCGTGGCGGGTGCGCAGCCACAGGCAGGAGCACTGGCGTCAAACAGGTGACCGGTGCCGCCCGCCCCCGCCCGGTGCCCGCTCCCACCCTCTCCCTCCACCAAAACAAAAGCGAAACTGGCGGAGGGCGCAGCCAGCGGATAACGAGCGGCCCCGCCGGAGAGGCCGCACCGCGCCCTCGCCGCCGGGCAAGGGCAGGACCCGGGGCAGGACGCGGCGGGCGGACGGGCGGGCGCTGCCGCTCAGGCACGGCCGGGGATGGGGCCCGGGGCGGGGGCCAGCGGCGGCCCCGGGGCCAGAGGGGGGCAGGGCCCGATCGCCCCCGCGCACACCCGGCGGGGTCGGGACCGCCACCTCCCCGCGAGCGCCGCGCTCCCTCCCCTCAGCGCTGCGGCCGGGCCGGGCCGGGCGAGGGCGTTACCTGGCGGCCCGGGGCCCGAGTCAGCGACCCCCGCCCGGCCTCCCTCGCTCCTGCCCTCGGCCGCGGTCGCTGCCCCGTTCCGTCCTCACAGCGCTGCCATTACCCAAAGCCGCTCGCGCCCCGCCCCTCCGCCGGCGCCGCCACTGCCGGGGTCGGGGCGCGGCCCCACGGCCCCGCTCGGTGCTGTCGCCGCCGCGCCGCCGCCTCACCCGCGGAGCCACCACCCCCGCGTTCTCTCGGCCGGGCTCTTCCCGCCGGCCGCAGGATGAGCTGGGGCCGACGGGTCTCGGCGCTCAGTCACTTTCCGATCGCACCCTCCCCCGCCGGAGCAGCGGGGTTTGGTACGGCCCGCACTGTACGGCGAGCGCGGGCGGCCGCACTTCCCAGCGGCGGGGCGGTCGTAGCGCACGCGTCACTCCGCCTCCATGGCGGGACTGTTCTCGTCCCGCGCCTTCCCGACATGGAGTCGCGGGGCGCGGGGGCTGGAACGGGCCTCTCCCGCGGGCGCGGCGTTCCCGGGCTTCGTGTCAGCAGCTCGCCGTTACCTCAGAAGGTGGAAGTGTCCCCGTCCCGCCGCCGCCCCCAGCAGGGAATATCCCCAGCTCCCTGCTCCGGTGCGGGACGCCCCGGGCAGCGCCCCGGCCCCGGCTGCCTCGGCAGAGCGGCCGCCGTCCCCGCGCGGGCCCCGGCGGAAAGAAAGGGGCAACACAGAGTTGTTGGGTGGGAGTAACAAAGTAGAGTCGCTGTGGAGACCAAGTAGCCGGGCGGCCTCACGTGCCCCGGGCGCACGTGCGCGCTGTGGGAGCCGCCGGCACCGCAATCGCCCGGCGGGCACCGAGCCGGGCCCGGGAGATCGCAACTGGGCACAGCAGCTCTGCTTCAAAAAACAAACAATAAAAAAGGGATCCACTTAAAGGACATCGTGCACTCTACGTAGGAGACAATAGTCTTCTGGAAAACAGATATTTATTTCTGAAAATTCTCTATTGTTCAAAACTCACGTCAAAATAATTGCTTTCCCTGTTTTCAAATCAAGCCCTTGCCCATTTCATTTCCAGTACTTGCAGCTTTATCATTAAGCCTTAATGCTTTCCTTTGTGTTCTCTTTTTAAATGTATTGGTCTCCTTCTAGACATTTTAAACAGCGCTTCAACTTCCTCTGTTTTCACCCTAAACCCCTTTGGTTTTCTATTCTGCTACTTTAACAGAAACTAGCAGAGTTTAAAGCTCTTCTATTTGCTGGGGGGAGGTAGGTTGTAACTAAGCTTTTGGGTGCTTGTTATTTTCTGCAAGTGTTGAATTGTATCTGCGGCACTTTTTCATTTTTTTAAGAACTGGAGGCTCTTTTTTAGTGGTAGTGTTAGTCACAAGCTTGTGAGTTAAACTCTTAGAAGTTCAAATATATGGTGGCACAATTTAATAATGCTATTTAAACCTGCTGTGTGAATGTATTAATTGTACAAGATCAGATATCACAAGTTAGATGGCCGTTAATGAAAAACATCCTTATCTATACACTACCCAAACATTACCCAGTACATATTTTGTAAATTTCTGTTATATGAGGAAGTTTAGTCCTGAGTTAACTGTTATAAACTGGAAACAGATACAGGAAAGGAGGTATTTTTCAAAATTAATATTTTGGGTTGTTCAGCCTGGAAGAATCATGTAGCAATTTCCTGAAATTATGAATATTCACAATAAGCACAGACTTTAATTAGGTACCAAATCTGCAACTATTCTGCACATTCTGTTCTACAAGGCTGCAGTTGAGGATGCACAATTAGGGAGTCACAATTCAGAGGAAGAACATGAGTATTTGTTACTGCTTTTATGTAAGGTATTTAAAAACTGTTCTTGGATTTTAATGTATTTAGGAAATATCAATTTAAATGCATTTAGGAAATAACAGAGAAATATTTAGGAATTCCAGAAAATGACCACCTGAAAGCACAGAACAGGGCATTGCAGGAGTCAGATGAGCAAGCTGAGAGCATTTCTCTGTGTGTTCATAAGGTCATCTCACCACTCCCACAGTGCTGCCTGTGCTTCCAAAAGAACAAAGGTTCTCATACAGTCTATTAAGAAATAATGATAATGTATCTGCCAAGAGCAAGACTAGAACTTGTGTGTATGCACCAATGTTTTTGTGAGTGGATACATGATTTATGACTCAGTGAGTTCAGTTCAGTGCTAGCTCTGTGGTGGGGCTGTTCCTACCTGCTGAAGCCCAGATGTTGGTAATCTGAATTAATCTGCTGTGCAGATGTCCCCAAAACAGCCAGCAATGAAAATTGCCATTTGGCAAAGCATGAGCAATTAACGTGGCACCCTCAGCTACCTCAGCCATGTCTTGATGCATTTCTAGATGACAGCAGATGTGCAAACTGCTTTAAATCCTGTTTGACCAAGGCTTAGTGCTGTCTTTCAGCAGTTGTAGATAGAGAAAACAAAGATAGGGGACAGATGGAAATTCTGGAAGTTTTCGCAGGATAGTCCTATGGAGAAGTCAACTTCTTCCCAGTAAATTCTTACCAGTTCTTTATATATTGTTGATAACAGTAGTGAGTGACATAAGTTATTTTCTACTACATGCATATGCCATCTTACATCTTTGCCACCAAATATACAAATTTATGTTTCTCTGATTACATCTGCTATCAAGTCTGCTCACTGTCCTAACCAGTGTTGCAGTATTTCCTGAGATCCCCTGTTGTTTATATGCGGTTGTTTTCTCTTATCTGATACTTCTGTGTCTCTGTCTGTTTGCATTAACTTGTTTTCTCTTATGTAATTAATTCCTTTGGAAGGAGCTGTCTATTTTGTTTATGTTGATGCTACATCTAACACTGCATTATTCTGGTACAGAATTAGGAATCCCACAGTCCTATGGTAATACAGTGTATTAAATGTGCCACTATAGCACCTACTGCTTTATTTAAAAGCTGGTTTAGACTGCAGTCTGAACTGATACTGAGTATCCACATTCCCCCACCGCCACCATGTCACTTGCAAATGCCTTTCATGTTACTATCTGCTCTTCTTGTCTCTGATTTAAAATCCTATTTTAAGAGTAACATATTTATTAGCCTTTTTCAAGTAGAAAATGAGAATATTGACTGGATTATTTATGTTATATTCATGTTATATTCAATTTTTACTAGATGAGTTAGTCTGCATTATTGATGCAGATAATACAATTTTTTAAAATAATATTTTGCTTCTGAAAACAAGATAAATGAAAGCAGGAATGGACCTTTATTTCATTATAGCTATTTTTAATCTAGACTTTCATTGTGGGTATTTCTCTTTCATGTGGTAACATGCAAAATATATGTATAAATGGAACAAATCTTTTGTGATTATAAAAATACGCAGTAATTAAGTATTATTCTTGTATATTTTTAAAGTTTATGAAGAATTTAAAATGTATGATTATTTAATCTGCTTTAACCCCTGTAATTTTCATTAAGAAGCAGACGCTCACTGCGCTCCTGGCCACAAGATGGCAGCACGGAATAGATACAAAATAGCAGTTCAAGAGTTTCAACTTACTCAACCTACAACAAAACTAACAAAACCCACACCTTTTTGTCCATGAAATGGGAAAAGTAACAAAAGTTGAACTCTCTCAAACAAAATTTATTAGTTAGCCATCAAGTGTTTTGTTAAACTCCCAGATTTATTCTATCCTTCCCCAGGATTCCTTGGAAAAAAATTTGCAAATGTAATTTTTTCCCCATCTATTTTTAAAAAGGGGCCACAATTTATTTTCATGTCATTGAAGCTAAGAAAGTAAACTATCTGTCTGAACGAATCTAGTTAGTTTTCTTTCCTTTTTTTTCCAAAAAAATTGCTGAAAAAATATTCTGCAACATTATTGACAAGCAAAATTGTGCATTTAGAATTTGTATTTAGAGATCAATGAGCTGCCAAGACTTTATGATGCAGTAACTGAGCCTAAATGATTCCACTTACAGGAATTTTCAGATATTAAACAGCTTTATATATGAAGTATCAAAAGAGTAAAAGATTTTGGAGCTTTTGTGTGTTTCGTTACAACGTTGTAAATCCTTTCTGCTCAGTAAGTGCATCCAATGCCAATGGCTCAGGTACTTGCTATGGGCTGGGTGAATCAAATATAACAATTTCCCAACAAACAAGCAACCTGGCATATAAGAGGTTTCTGTTCATTTTTTTTAATCTAAGCATTTGGGGAAAGAATGTAGAAAGCTTCTAAAGAAGCTGTTAGGTGGCTTTATTTCTGAATTGTTAAAAATGAAGGAGTCCTGGCTGAGACACCATTTGACTGGGTTTGAGTTAATTACTGGGATTTTGCTTTCAGGTTTAATTTGAATATGAAACTACTCCTGAAATTTACTCTCGTAAATAAGTTGGTTTGTAGTTTTCCTGTTTTAGCTTATATGCACAAAATCCCAAAGCTAGTACAAGTTAGGAAAGGGTGGTGACAGAGCTGAGGACATGGAAATGTTCAAACATCATCACTTACCCCTGCTGGTGGAAATGGGAGAGAGAGAGAGAGGGAGAGAGCCATGAGAGGATGCTGCACACAAGGGAAGGGAAGCTGCAGTTCCAAGGATGTTCTGTTACATCTACCAGGTCATGAGCCAGGAATATATTTGCTTATAGTACCAGCAGTGAACCAAGCAATTTTATTCTAAATGTCTTTCCTTCCCTTTTGATTCAGAAATTATGCAATAATTTTCAGAAAATGGTTCAAGTCCCTTTTTAGCTGTGGCTTTTTATAAAAGGCTCATAGATCATGTGCACCACTGTACAATCATTGTTAAGAATCACAGTGAAATAATCCTTTCATGGAGATGCAGCAACACAGTGCAAAGACACTGCTCAATACCTCGAGTCCTGTGTCCAGTTCTGGGCCTGCCACTTCAAGAAAGACATTGAGGTGCTGGAGCTGTCTGGAGAAGGGGAATGAAGCTGGTGAAGTGCACAGAAAATGTCATATGAGGATGCAGCTGGGACAGCTGGGGTGTTTGGCTTTGAGGAGTCTCAGGGGAGATCTTATTTCTCTCTACAACTCCTTGCAAGGAGGTTATAGCCAGGTGGGGGTCAACCTCTTTTCCCAGGCAACCAGACAGGAGGAGAGG